CCCCCCCCCCCCCCTGTTTCCTAATAAATATACTTCACATCACAACCCAAAACTATATATATACATCTCGCTAAACTCCGTCCGATATTGTGCAGTCATCGAATAAGGTAATAATAAAACTTACTCGTCGGTTTTCGAATTCTTCAGATTCATTTTGGGATTGTGTAGAGAAGTAATGAATGGTAGGTCTGGCTGTAAGCTGCATATTCATGGGGAAGGGATGGGAAGGGATGGGAAGGGATGGGATGTGGTTATCCTGGCATTCGAGATGCAGCGTGCGAGTTGGGGTGTTTAGGGGAGGAGGAGGGGAGGTGGATGTAGAGAAAAAGCGTGGTTTGGGGGGGGGGGAGGGATCAAATTGCCTTATATAGATCCGCCAAGCATCTTGACTATTGGGGCTCTTGGAACATTCACACAGACACTGAAATGCTGGCGAACACGGGAAATTTGGAGAGAATCATTTGATTTCTACTTTCTTTCTTCAATGCGCCGATACTTCCCCGTCTATGCCATGATGCTATGCCCTGCTCTGCATTGAGACCTACCTACATACTCGGCTGGGGTATATATTTGCATTGATTATGAAGGGGGTGCCGTTTCCGTCGCTTCTTGTGATGCGGGCGCCTCCGGGGCTGGCTTTTCTGCATCCAATACTGGCACCACCTTCTCTGGCAGCACCTCCTCTGGCAGCACCTTCTTCTCTAGCTCCACCTTCTCTGGCTCCCCCCTGATACCACCAACTACTCTCAATCCTTCTGCTTCTTTGGTCATGCTGTCGAGATCGGCTTTCCGCTTTAGGCGTTGCTTGATTTCGGTCACCAGGTCGGAGAGATTGACCAATACACCCTCCTTCTCGGGGTGGCCTTCTCGAAGACCGTTCTCCTTAATCTTCACCTTGCCTTGCGACAGCTCATCCTCTCCCAGAATGACTGAGAAGGGGGTAAGATTGGCTTCTGCAGCCTTGAACTGATTTGGCAATTTTGGCTTTACTTTGTAAAGGAACTCGGCCTAGGTATAGCATTAGCACATAAATTCCTGAGTATGTGTTGAATAGGCTTACCTTGATCCCCGCTTGCCACAGAGTTGTGCACACATTCATACGCTCCTTCAAGAGACCAGTGAAGCCCTTGCCACCGAAGGCCATGACGAACACGTCAGTCTCGTTATTCCGGACCTGCTCCGCATTCTTATCCGCTGCCATTCTTGCTTTGGTGATGGAGAATATCCGGTCAACACCGAAAGAAATACCCACGCAAGGGATCTGCGTCTTCCCTGAGAACATCCCAACGAGGTTATCGTATCGGCCTCCAGCTGCAACGCTACCAACGCCCACGCTCGGGTCTGAAGAACGGTCTTCGTCTTCAGCGCCTGCCTTTGAGGGCTTCTTGGAAGCCTGAGGAGTGGCCGCGGTTATCGTTGCAGGAGGGGCTGAGCCTTCTGTAACAATCTCGAAGATCACGCCAGTGTAGTAATCCAGACCACGTGCTAAGCTCAAGTCGAAAGAGACATTTTCGAGGGCTTCGAAAGCTTCCAGGTAGCCGAACAACAGCTCCATATCTGCTACACCGGCTTTCATAGATTCATTGGCCATCAACTTCTCATCTGCTTGGAGCTTGGCCAGGAGATCTTTCTGGCCCTTTAGCACAACGTACTCCCCAATCTTGTCTGCAACATCTTCGGCGAGACCCTTCTCTTCGGTCATTTCCTTCCGCACCTCAGCCCATGGTAGCTTGTCCAGCTTGTCGACCGCAGAAGAGATCGTTCGAATCTTTTCCGCCGGTACACCGCATACCTCGAAGACACCATCTAATATTTTCCGGTGGTTGAGCTTAATGGTGTATCGTCCGTTCCAACCAAGACCCTCGAAAACTTCAGTCGCAATTCGGACAACCTCCGCATCTGGCAACATGGGATCGTATGTGCCTGCGATATCAAAATCACATTGGTAGAACTCTCTCATTCGGCCCTTCGTCATTGCTGGCTGATCTCGTCGGTAGACCTTTGCGATATGGTAGCGCTTGATATTTTGAATATCTCTGTTCATGGCTAGCCATCTTGCAAATGGAACAGTAAGATCGTATCGAAGGGAGCATATCTCTCCTCCTTGGTCGGCCAGATCATAGATGAGTTTGCTGTCCTCGCCATATTTCCCAGAAAGAATATCCTTCAACTCAAAGACTGGGGTGTCGATCGTGACCGCTCCGTGGCGCTTGAAGACATCTGTGATCGTAGAGAAGATCTTGTCCCTAATGACCATGTCCTTTCCCTGCCCTATTGTAGACAAGTAAGCGCTCTGCTATGTGCCAAGTCAGAGGATAGATGAGACGAAAGACTGGTCGCAAGTTAAGGCATACTCACAATCCTTCGTCCCCTTAGGGGTCTTCAACTCAAACTTCTGAGCTTTTGGCGCCATATCTACGTCCTCTTCTCTGCGTAGGACCGTCTGAGAAAAGCCCCGAGAGCTTGTGATCGTCACTGACGTTGATGGTGGGGGGAAGTATCCAGGCCTTCGTGGCGCTTGTGGTAATCGAGGGAATCGTGGTGATCTCGCAGACCTTATCAATTGTAATCGGAGGACCTTCATTCACCCTATGTGGCTTTATGGGTTTTAGAAAGGCCGCTGTATTGTGAGTCAAGGCAAAGTGTTTCCAGTTCAGTGTAGTGTGTATGCGAGGCTGTGGATTTTTTTGGGCCCTTCTCGCTTGCGTGGGGATTTGGAGCCGCGCGCCGCGTTCAATCGCCCTCCGCCATCCGCCATCGTTCACACATCAGCCCGCATGTAGGTACAGCAACACTCACCATGGGTCCTCATGCTGGGTTCCATACGGATCAGATCAGAGATAAAGCACGGAAGGACCTTCTGTACTTATTGGAGGGAGTAAGTAAGGCCGTCTTTCTCCTGACCACGTCCAAGGCGCCCAGCGAAATAACAGTGTACTGCAGGTTCGTGGGAAGAAGAATCTGGTGATTGAGAAGAGCCTGGCTGGACCAATTGGCATATTCATCAAATTCTCAACCCTTCAAGATTACGGCGTCGACAAGGTCTTCTTCTTGGAAAATGGCAACGCGGACAGCAGCCAACGAAACGTGGTCTTCATAGCCCGGGGAGAGAGCGGGAAGCATGCCAAATCAATAGCCGGTATGTATATTCTTGCGCACCTTTCACGGTATACGTTTATTTCTTCGAATCCCTCTCGGAAAATGGGTCGATGTCTTCTCGCACGCCAGACTTTAAGCCTTGCGCCAATGTTTCCTTGACAGCTTGACCATAATCATTCATACCCTGTGCAGACGACTCTCTCAGTACTTGCTGACATTGGAAAGATCATATCAAACGTATACAGCGGGAGAGTCAGACAGAACATGAATTCTCAATATTCTGGGTCCCAAGACGGACTCTTGTTTCGGAGAAGATGTTGGAACAGGCTGGTGTGTTGGGTGATACCAACATTGCAGAGTTTCCTCTCTATTTCCTACCGCTGGAAAAGGATCTTCTATCCTTAGAGCTAGAAGACTCGTTCGCCGATCTATACCTACGAAAAGACCCTACTCCGACATTTCTACTGGCACGTGCTCTGATGCTTATACAACAGAAACATGGGCTCTTCCCTCGAATTACTGGTAAAGGGGATAATGCAAAACGTCTCGCGGATTTGCTTGCGCGAATGCGACAGGAGGTGATGGCGGGTGAGGACAACGAAAACAATAAGCTGGGGTTAACACCGAGCACAACCATCGAGGGCCTGATCGTCATTGATCGCGAAGTCGACTACGCCACACCTTTGCTTACGCAGTTGACGTACGAGGGATTGATCGATGAAGTTGTAGGGATCAAAAACAACTATGCCGATGTGGATGCGTCGATCGTAGGTGCTGCCCCTCAATCAGCTCAAGGGGGTTCAAAGACCGTGGGCGCACCAGCACAACCAAAGAAGCGGAAGATATTGCTTGATTCCTCAGACAAGCTTTACGATCAACTCAGAGATACGAATTTTGCTATCGTTGGAAGCTTATTAAACAAGGTCGCTAGACGACTTCAGGCTGATTATGACAGCAGGCATGGTACGAAGAGCACAGCAGAATTGAGAGAATTCGTGAACAAGCTCCCCGGGTACCAAGCAGAACAGCAGAGCTTAAAGGTACATACTGGCCTGGCAGAGGAGATCATGAAGCATACGCGTACGGATCAATTCAGTCGACTACTCGAGGTGCAGCAAAACCTTGCCGCAGGTGCAGATCCTTCATCGCAGCATGATTCGATCGAAGAGCTTATTGCTCGAGATACACCTCTGACAGAGGTCCTCAGAGCTCTATGCTTAGAGTCGTGCATTTCCGGTGGAATCAAACCCCGGGAGCTAGAGAATTTCAAGAGGATGATCCTCCAAGCATACGGCTACCAACATATCCTGACATTAGACGCTCTTGAAAAGCTCCAGCTACTGCTCTCCCGAGCGTCTCCAATGGCAGCGATGGTTCCAATGCCGGGAACTGTGGCCAACACTGGCACAAAGACCAACTACGCATACCTGCGCAAAGCGCTTCGTCTAATTGTTGATGAAGTAAATGAACATGACCCAAATGATATCGCTTATGTGTATAGCGGCTACGCACCACTGTCAATACGCCTCGTTCAGTGCATACTGCAGAAACAATATGTGACCTCGATAACTCGCAAGGGCGGTGCGAGCAATGCCGCTGTGGCTACCGGTGGAGCTTCCCAGGGGTGGCGAGGCTTTGAAGAGATAGTGAAGCATGCGCGTGGAGAGACGTTTGACGAGGTCCAGAAGGGAGAGGATAAAGCTATCAAAGCCAGAGCTCTTCTCGCTGGAAATGGCGAGAAGAAGCTGGTTTTTGTCGTGTTTTTGGGAGGCATAACATTCACCGAGATCGCAGCACTCAGGTTCATTGCCAAGAAGGAAGAAGGTAAGTTGACCAATGTGCGCCTTTGCCTCTTTATACTCATATTTTTATATAGCCCGGAGACAGATAATTATCTGTACAACGTCCATCATCAGTGGGAATAGAATCATGGATGCAGCTATCGAGAAGGGTTCGTTCGGGAAGAGTAGTGGTGTGCAGGATCTCGCCTCTTAGGAGCCGACCTTGGTGGGGCATTTCTCCATGTACGAACAGATCAAACAAACAACACCTCTAGATAGATAAGAGGCTACCATTGCCTCCAACCATATAATGTAATCATGGATTCCCTATGTGTGTGATGAAGGATTTATAGATGCAACGGTATGCACAAGTTTTCCAAACTTCGTGAATCCGCTCCTATCCATTCATGAGACGTCGGAAGAAGCACTTCGTCAACGGCTTTATAATAGAGCACACGTGATTTTCGCCAGGATATTCTTCACTTGGCCCGAGATCTCAAGCAGGGCTTGATATATCTCAATCGTACAACACGACCAGCCCACGAAAATCTACAAACTTCCGGCAAGCGCACATAACCGTTTGGAAATACAACATACAGGTGGTGGAAATACATAAATCTAAGCGCGCGAGGTAGGGGGCGATTTGAATCTGCAGGTGAGACTCGACCCACGTGGTGATACATACTGTATATCAAGATCGTATCCTCTGAAGGGTGCTAATGCCATTCTCCAGGCTCGTAAGGTGAAATCCATCAATCGCTTCGATGCTACACGAGGCTTTGTTCCATGAATGAGTGGACATTGGATGGGAATTTCGAGTACTCTTACCTGACTCCCGCCCAACCGACGGCCCATATATTTCGAAGCAACATCCTAAAGTTACCTGAATTGCAGGTTCAGACATGGCGACAACATTGGATAACCAGATGTCGCATCAGCATGACCTCAGTCACGATACTTTGATGGGGTTGCAAGAACTGGATCAAGAATTGGACTCGCATCTAGCAATATTCGAGCCCTCGAATCCGGGCAGGGATTCGTCTACTCCAGGTGCTATATCAGTCTCTACTGTCGACGATTCTGTCAACAATTTCGAGCAGTCCTCTAATACTATAATTGTTGATTCTTCCGGAGAAAGCTATTCAAGAAAATATCAGTGTGACGCTGATTCGGTCGAATCCCGTACTAGGCCAACAGAGAAAAAGCACATGGCCAATGGCGCCCATCAGTATGTATTCTCTCCGTACCACAATTCTAGTTTAATTACCTTCTAGCGATGAAATCAATGCATGAGTTTGACGAAAGTCTATTTATTAACCTTCCCACGGTAGTGCCGGCTGGCGTGCTAAGCTCGTACCTGATAACAGCATGCACCTGAAACCTGAAAGCGCGCGCAATTCTATGGCCTCCTCCATGGTTACTGATATCGATGATGCCTCATCAGCCCTGTCTTCGATATCGAGCAAGGCAACCTCTCCTACAGGCTTCGATGCCAACTCTAAGGAAACAACCAAATCTTCGTCTCAAACGGGAAAACGCCAAACATACGACGTCCGCCCAAAAATTTCCATACCAACCGATATCGCACCGTCGGAATATGCGAGACAATGTATCGCTGCAGCAGAATCCTCACGCTTGAATCCATACAGCCTGCATCCTGAAGAATATGCTATGTTGCGTAAACATATCACCCACCAGCAAGTCACGACTTATCTCAACATCAGAAATGGCATCCTGAGACTATGGGTGCGAAATCCCTTGATTGGTGTAATGCGGGATGAAGCTATTGGATGTGCCAGAGATGCTCGTTGGTTTGATGTTGCCAATATCTGCCATGAGTGGCTTGTTCGACGGGGTTATATCAACTATGGATGCCTGGAGCAACCTGATTATCCAAAAGTTGGTAAAAAAGGGCGGGCCCCGAAGCGGAAAAGAAGAACAGTTGCTGTCATTGGGGCTGGGATGTCTGGCCTAGGTTGCGCGAGACAGCTCGAAGGCTTATTTTCTCAATTCGAAGATCGGTTTCGCACAATGGGAGAGGAGGTACCACGTGTAGTTGTATTAGAAGGCAGAGATAGGATCGGCGGAAGGGTGTATTCTCGTCCATTCAAATCGAAACCGAATTATCCAACGCTCAGTTACGGGACTCGATATACTGCGGAGATGGGTGGTATGATCATCACTGGCTTTGATCGTGGAAATCCTTTGAACATCATTGTTAGGGGTCAACTGGCACTACCGTATCACGCCCTAAAACCGGAAACGACAATTTATGATGCTACTGGGCGACCCGTAGACATCAACCGAGATCAATTCGCTGAGAAACTGTTCAATTATATCCTTGATCGTGTGAGCGAATACAAGTTCAAAATTCCCAACCCAACAGTGGTGGATGGTGACAAAGATCTCTTAGACGCTGGTCGCGACGTCAACGGAGAGGGCTCCAGAACGATCAGTGCAGTCGAGGACTCCCCGGTGGCCACACCACCAATTGACTCAAGTAGTCAGAAATCTAGCCCTACTAACATACAGATGATTCCTGTATCATCTGACAGGCTCACAGGCAGATCAGTCCTTGAGCCAGGAATCCCAGCGGTACATACGGCTGCGTATAAAGCACGAGAGATTGGCTGGGATCTGCGACCTGGAGTGGGAATTGAATACGATCTAGATCTCGAATCGGCCGTGAATTCGACATATGCCACGCTTGGGTCTGTGTTTGACGAAGCTGTTCGTCAATACACAAGAATCGTTGACTTTACACCCCTTGATCTCCGACTGATCAATTGGCACGTTGCAAACTTGGAATACAGCAATGCAATTACGTGCAACAAGCTAAGTCTTGGGGGTTGGGATTTGGATGCTGGAAATGAGTGGGAAGGGAAGCATACTATGGTTACTGGCGGCTATCAACAAGTGCCAAGGGGTTTGATGAATTGCCCACATCCATTAAACGTGGAAAGAAAGAGAAATGTGAAGCGCATTGTGTATAGCTCCGGAGAGACCACCACGCCATCGAAGATTGAATTCGAAGATGGCGAGATTATTGAGGCTGATTACATCGTCTCGACGATACCTCTAGGAGTTTTGAAGCAGAACAACATTCAGTTCGAGCCGCCTCTACCGGACTGGAAAAAGGGCGCCATTCAGCGTATAGGTTATGGGGTCCTAAATAAGGTGGTATTAGTCTACAAAGAGCCCTTCTGGGACGAACGGCGAGATATCTTCGGCACTCTTCGCAACCCAGACAACCGCTTCAGCCTGGATCAAGCAGATTATTTCTCAAATCGAGGACGATTCTTTCAGTGGTTCAATTGTACCAAGACTTCTGGCCTTCCTACGTTGGTTGCCCTAATGGCTGGTGATGCGGCGTTCTATACGGAAAAGACACCCAATGAGGAGCTTATTGAAGAGGCTACGAAGGTGTTGCGGAGTGTGTATGGTCCGGAAGTGCCTAATCCGATAGAAGCTGTTGTCACACGATGGGGCCACGACCCATATTCGCGCGGTAGCTATTCCTACACTGGCCCGAATTTCGAACCGGACGATTACGAAGTCATGGCAAAGCCCGTCGGTAACCTCTTCTTTGCCGGTGAGCACACCTGCGGTACTCATCCAGCAACAGTTCACGGTGCCTACATTTCTGGTTTGAGGGCCGCATCTGAGGTCTTGGATGCCATGATCGGGCCCATTGAGATTCCTGAGCCGCTTGTTCTGCCTAAGGACTCTGCATCTAAACGGAAAGCTGATGCAGTGCAGACCCCCAAGGATCCCAAGCAAGCTCGTTTGGAGGCCTATGAATTAGAAATCTGGAATGCCACATGCGCAAAACTTGGTGACCGGCCCTGGCGTCCCGCAAACAATTACGCCAATCCATATAGGATGTATAGCAAAGACAAGTGGGAGGAAGCGAAGAGACAATGTGAAGAGGGTCGGCGACCTGGCAAGGGGAAACCGATCCCTAACGAAGTCAAGAAGATGGTCACCAAGATGTGGAAAGAGGCCTCAGAGGACGAGAAGAGGCCGTATAATGAGAGAGCGGATGTCCAGAAGAAGGCGTACGCTGCCGCTATGGCAGAATACAATGTGAAAGCGGCGCAGTGGGATAAGGATGCCCTGGCATTCAGGGAAGAATACGTTCGGGAGCACCCCAGCATCCCAGGCCCTGGGGAGAACGCTGATAGTCCATCGAGGAGAGACAGGAGGGCGAAACGCATTAGTGGATATGCAGAGGATTCCGGGTCCGATTTGGGCATTTGAGCATTGATTGTATTCTAACGGTGACTTTGGGTCTGATATGGAGTTGCAGTGGTTCATTGGCATTAGTGGGTCCCGTGGTATGGCTATCCTGAAGAACGAAAGCATGTAGCTATGTAATTTATCGTTATGCACGAGGAGGCGAATGACTCTTTATTACCTGTGATATATTAGGGCTTGGGATAAATATCTCCCATCTGGGAGAATCCTTCGTATATGGATATAATGTTTCTCTGCAAGTAAGTTCTGTAAAAGGGGTCATGTTCCATCAGGGGGATCACGTGTGTTCTACATCCTGGCGATAAATGAGGCCACGTGAGGATAAGCTTCGTCAAACGACAACCCCTCCTGGAAGCTTGCGGTCAAACCATTCTCCCACCTTGCCCTCACCGGTACCGTGGCCAAGATGTCTGAAGTAGACCAATTCGACAGTGCGCTGTAAGCTCTACAAATCCCGCCCCAACTCACATCATCAAAGCTAACCCCTCGTGCTAGCGACCTCCTCCGCCGTCTCAATCCCCGCGAAACCTCCAAGCACCTCGACTCCCTCATCTCGCTCGTCCCATCCCTGACCGAAGATCTGCTCTCGTCAGTCGACCAGCCGCTCACCATCGCACGCTGCCGAAAGACCGGCCGTGATTATCTGCTGTGCGATTACAACCGCGACGGGGATTCCTACCGCTCACCATGGTCGGGCGAGTTCGAGACACCGCTCGGTGGTAGCGGGCCTGGGGGCGTTGATGATCAGGGAAATAATGAGGGAGCTGGTGAGGGAGCGGTGCCCAGTGAGCGGGTGCGAAAGATGGAGATCCGGGCGAATGAGGCGTTCGATGTGTATCGGGAGCTGTACTACGAGGGCGGGGTGTCGAGCGTGTATTTCTGGAATTTGGATGATGGATTTGCGGGCGTGGTGCTGCTAAAGAAAGGTTTGTCTATATCTGCTTTTCCTCTGACAAATTTGGGAAGCGTTGTTTGTTGTTGCTTTTGTCTGGACATTAAAGAAACGAAGCTGATGTTGGAGAAGTGGCTCCGCCCTCGGGAAAGAGTCAGGGGAGCTGGGACTCGATCCACGTGTTTGAAGCTGTTGATCGGGCGCGCACTGCACATTACAAACTCACCAGTACGGTGATCCTGTCTCTAGCAACGGGTAACGATAATCTGGGGGAGATGGATCTCAGCGGGAACATGACGCGTCAAATCGAGAGCGACCTCCCCGTCGAAGACGACACGTCGCACATCGCCAACATTGGGAAGCTGGTCGAGGACATGGAGCTCAAGATGCGGAACCTGCTGCAGGAGGTGTATTTCGGGAAGGCAAAGGATGTTGTGGGGGATTTGAGGAGTCTAGGACCCTTGACCGAGGCTAACAGGGAGAAGGCCACGCACCAGGAGATGATCAACTCTATGAAGCGGTAGCTGTAGAGCAAGATTGGCGAGGCGAAGTTGGTACAGAAATGAAGCAAAAAATTCTCTAGGAGGGGATTTGTCCCCTCCACCTCCAATTCTGGTCCAGAAACCTTGCCCCTATCTCGTCGAGTCCTCATGGCTGCTCCTTGAGCAATCCTTCATCGAGAGAATAGCTGTCCCTGTCGTATCCCTTTTCTGTTACCCCGGCTTTCATCGTTGTTAAAATACTTGCTGTTTTCAATCCCCTCTTTCAAACTTCGCTATTCACGTGGTAAGACAGGGGCCGCTTATACCTATGTTCGAGAGCTGAGAGTTGGCATGTTGGACGGATTACAGAGGAAGGCTGGATGAGATAAGGGGGGTAAAAGGCGCTTGTCACACACGTATGACGTCCAAAGCAAGCAAAACCAAAAGAAAGATCAAAACCGTAGAAAAGAGTCACACAGGTAGGTTTCTAACTCCCAAAGTATGTAGATAGATATCCGTGGATTTAATGTCCACATGAATCATATTGCATTAATAATCTGATGTCCAAGAATACAAAAGGGGGTAGTAATTAAGTGATTTTGACTTGTGTGAACCATAGACACGCCATGCGTTCGTTCGTAATCTAGTATACAAGCAAGAGAAACAGCCGTAGATACAAGTACAGCCCGGCTTATCTCCACCGCAATGCAAGAAAAGGCGTATTCCAAGAATGGAGGGAAAGGAAAAATAGGGGGAGTGTTTCCGCGGGGCGGTGATGGTATCAATCAATGCTTTGCGTCCGTTGCTCATCATCGTTAATCGTTCGTATCTCTCGGGGTTGTTTGGTTCTGCGTGCTTAATTTTGTATAAAAGGCCGTCTTGTTTGTTCGTTCGTGCCATGCTATGCGCTTTTGTAAATTCCTGCTCTCAGCGAGATGGTCCGCCTCTCCCTATCCAGGGCCTCTCTGCCGCCCCTTACCTACTTGGCAACAGGCCACCATCCAATTCGTATGTAGGAGTCGATCATCTCCTGCACCAGCTCCTTGGTGATCGTGGGCTTGTTGTAGGTGAAGCCGACGACCTTCTCGAGCCGGCTGCCATCCATGCTCAGATCTGTATCTTTCAGCAGCTCCTTCTCCATGAACGGGATGAGAGGCCCGGGCCGCGTGATACCCGCATCTTCGAGTAGTTCGGCCCACGGGCCCAGCACCTCGTCGTTGACATCATCCACCACGCTGTCCATGTTCAGCCGTGCAAAGGTGCTGACCAGCTGCCCCTGGAAACCTGTCTCGATGCCAAAGATCTGGCCGATGATCTCGGCCATCGTGCCCTGCGACGTCTGGCCCTTGTCGACTACGTTGAAGATAGGGACCTTGCCCATGGTTTCCGCATCGTAGTTCGGCTGCTTCTGGACAGCGTACCAGTCTGCGATGGCCCAGAGCGCCCGCGTCACGTCAGTTATGTGCACGGTGTTCACTCGTAGATCTTTGGTCCAGAGCCATTTCATCTCCTCCTGGAGATGTTGGTAGACGCGGGCGAGCGAGAGGGCAGTTGCGATGAATTGCGAGGAGTATTGGCCATAGACGTGTGCGAGACGGACGATGATGAGGTTGAGTCTGGTTGGGGCGTCAGCTTTCTAGTCTGCGATTGTACGTCCAATGGTCAGGGAATGGTTGAAAGGCTTCAATCCCTGAACTCTTGACAATCGCTCAACACCGTGCTCATCACCATTTCTCTCTCTTGCTTCTTGTTGACCCATGAGAGCACTCACCCCTCGATTTTTGATAATTGCTCCTCCGCCTGCAATTTGAACACGGCAATCTTGCTCCAGGGCTTCACTTTGTCCTCCTCCTTGCTCGGCTGCGAGTCCGGCTTATATACCATCCCGCTGCTCAATTCGATAAAGGCCTTGACACCCCTCTTCGCCGCCTCGGTGCCCACTGCTACACTCAAGGCCAGCGAGCGCACTTTGTAGACCTCATCCTCTTGTGAATACCGTGTCTCGCCGCCGCAGTTGAATACATAGTCCCATTGCTTGCCGTTCGCGCGATCGAAAATACGGGCGAGAGATTCTACGGCGGGAATAAAGTCAGAATATCAAGCCCGCCGCGGCATGCGCATGTGAGGACCGGAGGGGTGGAAACTCACGTTCTTTACTCGCATCTGCTTGCATGAACTTGTCGGTCGAACATGCCTCCTTGAACTCGGGCGCCAACCATGCCAATTGCGGCAACACTTTATCTACGATCCGGACCTCAGACGCCAGATCATTCTGATGAATGTGCAGAGCCAGGAAGCGCCCGATGTAACCCAAGCCACCGATTATGAGAACTGCTGGCTTCTCCGCCATGGCGGTCGTCGTTCGGAGTCCGCAGAAGAGGTTCCAGAAGATATGTATGGATCGGAGAGCCCTGGCGTGGAAGTCCGGTGCAGTAGTAGCTGGCGGAAGAGAAAGACGACAGGACCAGAAAACCAAGGGAGGAGGTCAAGTCAGGGACCAAGGGACCAAGGAATTAAGGGACCAAGGGACCAAGGGACCAAGGCAATTGATTAATACTCCGTCCGTCTCGGAATCAATCTTGAGTAATCAGCAGCAAGGGGGTGCTATAGTCGACGGCAATGAGCGCGAGTTGGAAGTGAGCTGCAACGGTGCGGCGAAGTGTGTCTTGTGTCTCTGATCAAATACGAAGGGGACTTCTTGGAGTCTTGGACTGACTCTTGGAGGAGGAGGGAGAAAGGGGGGGGAGATATATACGTGCGTGCGCGCTTGTATATATATGTACCTAGGTACTCCGTACCTAGGTGTATATCTACAGGATAACTGTGTACATCTCGATATCCTTGCGGGCTATGATGCCCTTGGTAATATAACCAGATCCTCGGGTCCCTCCTCGTGCAAAGGCTGCCACGGAAGAGCCGTTATTGTGGATAATACAATATATTAACATTCTTTTTTAATATTACAGTACTTATTACCCGTGGTTTAGGTTCACGATGAATAGGGGCTATCGCAGCAAGGCGCGCGCGACCTCATTAAAGGCTGCATCAGTTTGCTTGATTTTCCCCTCGACCGATGGACATGCGTCCTGCAGAGGAGAAAATTCAGCAGCCGTTGGACGCGGTCCTGCAGCTGTTTCTGCTGCAGGAAGCCATGGGGCCCCTCCGCATATTATGTGCCTTGCTTTATATTTGACATATTATTCTACCACATGATGTCCAGAGTCTATCTCCCCTCCACCGTTCCACGATTGCCCATCCCTCACATTCCGAGGCATCGCAAAGAGAGAGAGGCGGGGGGGACAGAGGGGAGAGACAAGATGAAAGGGGCGGAGTGGAGTCTTATGCAATTCCACACGGAGTTGCTTAAGGAGTCGGGAGTTGCCAAATTGCCCACTTCTCAACTTCTCACCCGCAAAACCGCAGACCGCAAACCGCATACAGGTCCATGATTCATGAAGATACCAGTACCAGAGATTTTCACTCCGCATTGTCCCACGTACAGGATCTTCAGGGGCAGAGGGGCGGCGGCAGAGAGTCCTTGTACAATCTGTACGTCCATAGCCTAGAAGAACTTCTGTTTTCTTGCGGCGACTGGTTACCGGTGCGGAGGATACCCCTCCAGAGCCACGTTGGCACGTTGCAAGTTCCGAACAGGTGAGAGATGAGCGCGCTCGTATCCGTTCTGTTCTTTTCCGGGAGAAATTTTGTTTCTTCTATATATAGATGAGCATGAGGTCGCAGCGCTGCGACTTCTGTGAGATTTTCTCCCAGCGTCAAGAAACAAATCTGTGTAGTATGACTTGACTTGACTTGACTTGAGTTGATTTGATTAGATTTGATCTCAATTGTCTCGCTCGTTAGTCGGCGCAGATCGGCATATTGACAAAGAAAGAGGCCGCAGAAGAGAGACCTCAACGCTTTGTTTTACCCCTTTGCTCTGCGCTCTTCGTATTCCTTGTTTCTTGGCGGAGCTGCTCAGAAACGAAACATCTGGCTTCTGATTCTTACCCTTCGTCAAGTGCGCTTCGGACTTGCCATGAAGACTGTATTTGAAGCCTCGGTTAGTTGAAGAGAAGCAAGAATACTAGTTACTTGAGTATCTAACATGATTCGAATGCTCATGGTTCTTACCTCCCCTCTTTTTTGCTAAGCATTTCAAAACCCAGAAGTCACAAGTCACAACCATGAAGCAATAGATGGACGGTCCCCTCCACGTCCTGTGCTCACCCTCTCCTTCCCATACCAGCTTAGCTCTAGCAACAATTTTTTGCAGCAGATTTTCACTTGGATGCTACGTTATCCAAGACATTCTTATCAAATTTTTTTTTCTTTTCATTTTTCACTCTTTGTATTTTGAAAGAGCGACGCAGAGCTGAAACAAGGGTTTCCTGACAATTGGCGGCACGTGTTTCTGAACTGTCTACAAGAACATATACGACCCATAAGCTATAACTCCATAAAACCTCGAGATACTGATTTCAATGTACTATGTTGCAGTACTTTACTAGCTGTTGATCCGCCCGGCAAGTCAATTGTGCACAAGTCCTAGGGTTTCACAGCCCCTCTGAAGCATTGCCGACACAGACGCTCATCTTGATGCTTTAGAGGGTGTACTTCGATGGGAACACGACTTGAGGTTCTAGATTTATAAGAGGGGTATGGTAGGGACGGTAGGGGTTTCTTTTCTTTTTTGGGAGAAGGCCCCCCGGTGGGCTGGCTGAGAGGTCTTCTCCAGCAGATTGGAGGCATCCGGCCAGCGTGTCCCGCCTTGCCAGGAAGAAGGACCAGCTGAGAACACATACGGGCCGAAAAGCATATGATCGTGATAGGGCAGCTGCAGCTTGAGATTCCGGGATACTCTGCATGAGGCGAGACCTGCATGGCAAGACTTGGAAGATGCCGATACTCAACAATGTCAGTATCGGGGCTGGCCGACCTCAGATACTCAATATTTTGTACTGGATACACAAGCTGGTGGGGTCTTGGATCGCGGTACGATAGGGTGGACCAGTCTCCTTTTCATGCTCTCCCCGTTGCTCGTCATCCTCTGTTAACCATTGACGTCCAAAGTTTAGGTCGAGGGTTGGAAATGATGGTTTTGAAGCTGGTAATCTGAGGAATATGCGACGCAGTGAAATTTGGTGCGTCGAGGGGTGACTTTTTGGCGTCGAATTCGTTCAACTCTCAACATGCTCCGTAATCTGGCAGTTGGAGCCAATGACTCATAAAGACACGAGGGAAAAGATACTTGGTCCCTGATCGCAGAGCCTTTGGAGAAATTTTTAACTTTGTTTCGTAGATTCTAATACTAAGAATCCTTCAATCGATCCTCATAGCTGGTTGAACAGCCCATTATTTGAGATGCCAAAGTCTTGAACGTTGAGCCTTGCTCTACATTCCCGTACGAGATCAATCCAATGGAAAATCCCAACGCCAGCAGTGCTAGCCTTCCATTATATGCAACAGAGAACAATGCATCCTCTAGATCCCCAAACTCCACGACCGCCAAACATGTAAATCAAGCTCCGAATCAAGCATCACGCGGGTCTCCTCCGCGCGAACTCCTCCAAATCCGCTCTCGTAGCGACTCCCAAAACGAATCTCCTCTTCTCATCTGTCACTACCGCAAATTCCTGCTTGCCATTCTCCCCGTTCACGCCGCCGTTGAAGAACAGCTCTAGCTCTTCTAGTGGCGTGTCCATCGTGATGACTTGGTAGACCCTGCCCCGTCTCCGGAACTTAATCATCGCCTTGCTCACCTCGTCCGTCTCCTTCACCTTGCCTGTATCCAGGAGGATCCGCAGGTGCGGGATCGAGAGGTAGCCGAGGAGTGCGCGGTTCTGGGCCGAAACAACAGTCAGGTGCGTATAGTCCCGTTCGTAGGCTGCGAGCAGCGCGTGCGATATGGGGTCGGTGGGATTACAGGACAGGGCGGATGGAGGATCCAGGTCTTCTACCGTCGCCTGGGAGGCCGTCAGTACTGGAGCGTCAGGCAAGGGATCTGGAGACTTACCCCTCTATATCTGCTTGACCACTTGGAAAGGGTGGCATCTGACGATGAGGCAATTTCTGCCATCCTGGAGGCAACATTGTTGCTCCCAACTGGAATTGAGTTTGACACCGTCGCAGACATGGTTGGCCAACGTGAGGTTTAATTGCAGGGCTATGTAGAGTGTAAATATGCAGTTCGTCTTGCTTTTGTGAGGCGGCTTCCAGACTTGAGAGGGGCGAGGGGATTCTTGATGCCTCAGGCCATAGCGAGGATCCTGATTGGTGGATCACTAATCACTCATGCTGCCATTATGCAGCAAGACAACTGTGAAAAGACGCCATCATACAATATCTGTATGAATACCTAGCACATGTATGGTACACGAATATATACGTCTATATACCTCTTTTATCTCTTCTGTCGTGAACAACCAGTGTTGTGTGCATCATCCCAGCGACGTCATATCCTCGCTTGATTGCCCGGGCTCTAGAAGCTCAAGGTTGTAGGGCGAAGCTTGCCCCGCATTATCATCCGTACATCAACATCAGTATCAAGCTGAGCACCACTCGTAACGCCACCATCTCCTCCTCTTGTACACAGAGAGAGTATTGCGTGCTGCTGCTCGTGTCTCAACTGATCTTTTATCAATCTCAGGTGATTCTTATCTTCAGAGAGCGTTGGTCAGAGAGCGTTGGTCTCGTCATTGTCTGCTCGGATACGACCCGCACGTATGTGACCAGCATGGTTACCTCTCATCATTTGTCTTTCAGGGGCCCTTCGTGATCATTGCTGAATCAAGAAGTTGAAACGGATCTTGATCAATTCTCCGGGAATACTTGTCATCTTTTGCCTTGTTTTGGTCAATCCATTTCCCAACTGACAATTGTCACTGATATTCAGAATTCTTACAAAATGCCTCTATTTCCTTCCCAGGACACTCTTCATAATGTGTCCCATCCGACCTTCGGTCGACATTTGGATACTCCGAAGTCCCGGCTGACGGATGGTGCTAAACGCACGCCTCTTCAGGCTCGGTCTGAATTGTATACGACGTGGTCAGTCGTGGATGATGCGAAGGACAAGGCCAATGCTTTGAGTGCAGAAGCTACTAAAGAATTCGAGAAGGCTAGTGCGAAAGCTCAAGCCAAGACTGGTGGTATTGAATTGTATTCCCCCAGTTACTATGCAGCATGTACTTATGGAGGACTGCTTGCTTGTGTGAGTGTCTTCTGTGTTGGCTTTCCTAGCCTATATCATTGTACATTGTGGATCCGTACTTTTCTGACAGTCATAAGGGCCTCACCCATACCGCTGTCACACCCCTTGATCTGGTCAAATGTCGTCGCCAGGTTGACCCAAAGATGTACACTGGCAACTTCCAAGCTTGGGGCAAGATTGGCCGAGCAGAAGGCCTCCGTGGTATCTACACCGGATGGAGCCCAACCTTCTTCGGATACTCTGCTCAAGGAGCCTTCAAGTATGGAGGCTATGAGTTCTTCAAGAAGTGGTACTCTGATCTTCTAGGACTTGAGACGGCCCACAAATACAAGACCTCGGTCTACCTGACGGCCAGTGCCTCTGCCGAATTCATTGCAGACGTTGCGCTCTGCCCATTCGAAGCTGTCAAGGTTCGCATGCAGACCACCATCCCGCCATTTGCGACTGGAACTTTCGCCGGTATCAACACTATTCTCGGCAAGGAAGGCTATGCTGGACTATACAAGGGTTTGTATCCTCTTTGGGGACGTCAAATCCCGTATACAATGATGAAGTTCGCATCTTTTGAGACCATTGTGGAGATGATATATGAGCGTCTTCCTGGCAAGAAGTCTGATTACGGCAAGCCCGCTCAGATTGCCGTTTCCTTTACTAGTGGCTATCTTGCTGGTATCCTCTGTGCTCTTGTCAGCCACCCAGCTGATGTTATGGTAAGTCACGATTTCTGAGGTGCATTGTTTGAGGTGGAGCTAAGTTGAATCAGGTCTCCAAGCTCAATGCCAACCGTCTACCCGGGGAAGCTTTCGGAGCTGCTATAAACCGCATCTACAAGGAGATTGGGTACGCAGGACTGTGGAACGGTCTTCCCGTGCGTATAGCGGTATGTTTCCCTCTCAGCCATTGTTCTTCTGGCATGCTGATCTAGATCACAGATGGTCGGGACACTGACTGGATTGCAATGGCTCACCTATGTAAGCTCTGCTCTTCCCCGCCGATTTCAGGTGTGTTCTAATGACCATTTCAGGATTACTTCAAAGTTTTTATGGGGCTGCCGACGACCGGAGGAACGCCGCAAAAGACCTAGGTAGGTCCTTTGAGTGAGGCAAGAAAGGAAAGCGTACTGTGATTTCGTATGAATATTGAGTTATGAATAATGTGGCTAGCTATACATCGCTACATCCCCCCTCTAAAACCATCCACGATCTTTGTTTACATACGATTCGTATAGTAAACTAGATATAGTAAAGACTCGTAACAGGTTGATTTTCTGCTTGACAAATAGTAGTTCAGTTATCAGTTTAATTCTTAGTTCAATTACTAGTTTAATCACCAATTCAATTGCCAGTCTGATAAGAGCTGCTCGAACACATTAAATAGCACCTAAAAAACAGCCCAAATAACAAAAGCTCGAAACAGTACATTAAACAGCCCGGATGAAAGAGCCTAACGAGAGCTACCTTACCTTACTTAAACACGTCAAATAGGACCTAAAAGCAACTTATACAACAGCTTAAAACAGCACTTAAAATAATATGTTTACAATATATTGCACGTCGTGACGGCGGAACCCGAGATAAAGCCTCCTTATCCGTTATCTCTCGGAATGACTTTCCTTCTAGACTTCTACAAGGGACGGCTTCTTCCGGCCTGCATGGCGCGTTGATGCCTTAGTGCCTGAGTGCCTGAGCATGTGCGTGCCTGATCGTAGGAACTGGCGTCATAACACGCGGATCCCAGATTGCCCATCTTGACTGCGCAAGAATGGGGTCTTATCTCATAGGTCGATCAGCAGCATCGCATACAAGAATAGTGTGAGATCAAAACACATTGCTTCGATAGAATTCGATATCCCCGATACCTTCCACTGCGTCTATCGCCTGTCCCAGCCAATCAATCTCCCCGTTGTCTCCCATCCAGAGCGATCGCCGATTGCAGGCACTAGCCAGGAGTCAGTCAGGACAGGAAGCCAAGACAACCCTCGTTATTATTGCTTTCTTGCGGCTTGATCCATCTTTTCTGACTGGTACCTTACCTTACCCTACCTGGATTACGTGCGGGAAGCCTATCAGCCCTGACGTGCGAGATCATTCTCTCGCGCAGAGATTTTCTTCTTTTCTTTCCCCTCTTTCATTGTCCCCTTTTTCCGCGGCGCCTAGAGATACATAAAGAGATCCCGCGAATCGATAAGGTAGCAAAACCACCAACTGCCAGGCGTCGCAACAAATTATTCGAGAGCCACAACAATGAGCGAAGAAGTCAGTCACGGCCGTGGAGGTATGTCTCCCTTCTACTTATCAAGCCTTCAAGCGCAAAGAGTCGTGACTGATAACACATCGCAAACAGGAGCCGGGAACATTAGCGTTGATAACACACCGTGCGCGCATCCGCTCTTCCCCCAACCCCAAACCGCATAGATCTAACAGGCTCGCAGGTACGGCGACGGCGAGGTTGTGCGCGAGGGAGTCGTCGGCGACCATGGCGATGGAGCCTTCAGCACTGGTCGCGGCGGGGTAGCCAACATCGGGTCCCCCCACGTCAAAGCGACGGAGCGCAAAGACGAAATCGCGATCCCCGAGGTTGCGCTGCGACCTAGCATGGAGGGCGAGAACTTCCACACCGGAAGAGGCGGAGAGGGGAATGTGCATATTGGGTCGGAGCAAACGCGAAAGCACCCGGAAGGCCTGGCGGATAAGCTGAAGAAGATGCTGTTCAGGAAGAAGTCGTCCTCGTAGGAGCGTTGGATGAGTGCTGTGGATAGCTATTGCGAATAAGTGCTGCGGGTAATGTGCCAGGTGCGCGGGATGAGTAAAGGAATGAAGTCAAAGTATAGCAAGGGGGAGTTGGAGGGTTGCGGCTGCTTGATACCACGATTTTGTCTAATATTGTCGGACGGCGATGATCAATAATATACATGCAATAAGAATAATGGGTTGCCCTATATAAAGTCAATGTAACGAGAGGCAGAATCCCGTAGTTAAAGAGCGACAGACATGTATTGTGTTTCTGACACTATACACCAGTCCCTAAGGTACCTTATGCTAGAAGAGAAAACACCAGGAAATATATACGCAATTACGTAAGCAAGGCCAGAAATACATCGCTGGACCAGGAACGATAGTGAAGGTGACTACCCAGGCACTTGCACCATCTACGCGCTCCGTCTCTGGCGCGTTTCTTTCGAGTCGATCCTTTGAAATCTTCAATCTTCTCACTCTGCTACTTACCACACGAATCTTTGCGCTTTTAACTACGCGTCCTTTAACTGGTCAGAGACACGGCGACAACCCGCGACACGACATCTACCTGGCCACTGTTACCGCCACCTCGTCCACAGTTTGCGAGAAGTCAGCACTGTCTGTCATCATCTGCGAGAAACAATCTCGTCTGCCATTGGCCTGCAGGCATCATTAACCATAATAGCGCTCGAGGCGAAGTGCGACACACTCTGTTGATATCCCTCTACATCGCCCCTTCGCGGATCAAAATCCAGACCGTGTGACAGACTCCTGCCGTCATGGCACCCAAGCATGGGCTCGCTGCCTTACAGGCGGAAGAGAAATCAGCCAAGCGGGTAAAGAACTCAGAGACGCCAGCGTCACGGTCCGCGACGCCCGCGGATATCACGGGCAAGGTACCTTTCACGGTGCACTACCCGCAGATGAACTCGAAGCGGAAGCTCAGCAAGAAGGAGCAGGAGCTGGTAAATCACGCGGAGTTCCAAGAATCGCCATTCGTGGCCAAGGGCGCGGCCAAGAAGGGCGAGCTGGACCAACACTACACGGTCACGCCGTTCAAGGAGTGGGATGCCATGAAGAAGTACAATAACTTCATTAGTGAGTTGTAATTCATGAATTTCTTGTGTGCGCGGTTGCTAATTTGTTTGTAGTCCAGGGCGAGACGTATAAGAATCACCACTTTGTGTACGTGAGGGGGGAAGACACCCCTAAGGGCAACGTCGAACGCGACAAGGACTTCTGGGTCGCGAGGATTCTACAAGTCAGAGCGATAAATCCACAACACGTATACGCGCTGGTAAGTGAGCTTCTACTGTTTGCGAAAGGCATTATTGACCACTCAGGTTGCCTGGATGTATTGGCCTGAAGAACTCCCGCCACCGAAAACTAAGACCACAGATACCGTGAACTCCATCTCAGGACAGCGGAAATACCACGGCAGCCACGAGTTGATAGCCTCGAATTACATGGAAGTGCTTGACGTATTGTCGTTCGCCGGCAAGGCCGACGTCGAACATTGGAAGGAAGAGGACGACAACCTGACCTCGAAGCTATACTGGCGCCAAACCTTCTGCCGCGAGACCCAAGAACTATCTGTAAGCATCCCCCTCCCTCAGCTCAGGCATTCTTGACAACTTAACTAACGATATCGTCATCTCAGGCCCTACGCAAACACTGTATCTGCGACGGCTACTTCAACCCCGAAATACCCATGCTAATCTGCGACAACCCCGACTGCAAAGTCTGGCTACATGAAGAGTGCCTCCTCGACTCCATCCTCACCAAAACCTGCGAGCGCCTGCTAGGGCCTGAGGCCGAAGACGCCGCCCCCGCCAAAACCAACGGCCGGAAAACCAAGACGGGCCGCAAGCCCTGGAAAGGGAAATTCGCAGCGCACATCAACGCCGAAGAGGGAGGCAGCCATACCACGGTCACCATCACGGATTTACGGAGTAATAGCGAAGGCCCCAAGACCTGGACCGAGAGAGTCTCATGCTTGAAATGTGACGCTTTGCTGGAGTGAAATCTGAACCTGCGATATCAGATCTGTCACTCTATCTACCTTATACTCCTATACGTTTGAAACACCCTTTCCCGCCTTCCCTCCTTGGCTCCCGAGGAAATCAAAAGAAAGGGAAGGAAAGAAAGAAAGAAGGGAAGAAGGAAAAGGAAAACCTCACCTTCCCAATTAACATCTCACGGGAAGTTACAAGAGAAATCTCTCGGTTCTTTTTTTTTTTATGTGTCCCATCGCAGGCGTAGGAGGCGCTTTATACCCAGACTGTCTGATCTTGGGCTAGCTTTCTTTGTATTTTATTTGCTTCCTCTTTTTCAATTTTCTGATGGGGGTTCTTTTCCCTGATCTTGATCTTGCGGCTTGCTAGGGAGGGGGGGTATGGATGCAGAAATAGATTGGGTGGGTTGTATATAGGTAGTTGATCGAAGTGCATGCGAGAAAGGAAGGAAAGAAAGAAAAGAAGAAAAAGGCAAGCAAGCACCGCAGGCAATAAGCAGAGAAAACTCGATCGATACCTACCTTACCTACGTAAGACGAGTTGGATCGGGGGACACACGTTACCTGATAAAGGGAGACGGTCCGAAGAAGGGAAATCAAAAACGGGGAAAGGAAGGCAAAGAAATGCATACGTAAATTACATCAGAAAGTATCATATATATATGTATATGATGAATGGAATGAAATCATCTCAGATACAGATACAGATGGGAGAAGATAGGAGAGGAGAGTGAGATAAAAGCAATAATAGCGTTCGTATGTGTATTACTGGTGAGATCTATACTATAATATCTCATCCGCTTATTCTACCTAGGTACCTAGTCAACAGAGATCTAGGTAGCTATTCGTATGTCTTGTCTTGTCTGTTTTGTCTGTCTAAAACGTAACGGGTATCGTATTGTATTGTATTGTATCGTACGTATCATGCTCATCTATCCTCTCTCTCTCTATCTCTCCTTTCTCTACCGCTGCATGCATGCCTATCCATCTATCTATCTACCTTATGCATCCCATTCCATTCCATTCCATTTCGTATCGTATTGTATTGTATCTTATCATACCATACCATACCACTGCAAAGTTTTCCATCACCTAATACGGTTCTAGACAACAAGGCAAAAAAGAGCGCACGTTCCTATAGACGCAACTCCTCTCTCGCAAGGACTAACATTCCATTTCAGAACCAAACTTTTTTTCTCATCCCTTCGTTTTTTTACTTCCCTTTCTTCGTGAGCATATCAAGAATAGAGCTCTTTTTGCGCTGGCTTCTCGGCGGGGAGGAGGGTTTGGGCTGTGCAACAGTCTCTTTAGACTGCTCCTCTTGGTCCGGCGAGACGTGAGCGTCGGGCTCGGTCATGCCGGTGCCCTCGAGGAGCATTTTACTGACGGCCTTTTCGCCCGCTTCCTCGCCAGCAGCGTCGTCATCACCTGCCACCCTACCGTCGAGGACGAGCTTGCTCTGTCCGAGGGCGAGGATCTGCTCTTCGACGGTGCCGCGGGTGACGAGGCGGACGACCTCGACGTTGCGCGTCTGGCCAACACGGTGCGCGCGGTTCTCTGCCTGCTTGTCATCTTGTGGGTTGAAGCTGGCGTCGAAGATGATGACTTTGTTCGCGTACATCAGGTTGATGCCTGTGCCTCCGGCTTTGGTGGTCAGGAGGAAGGCGGTGATGCTCTCATCGTCCCGGAAGGTATCGATGAGCGACTGGCGCTCGTCAATCCGGGTGCTGCCATCGATGCGGGTGAAGGAGATCAGGGAGGAGTTGAGCACTGCTTCTAAGATATCAAGAACCAGCGAGAACTGCGAAAAGATCAAGACCCGATCGCCATTCTCTTTGTACTGCTTCACGAGCTTGATCATCGCCTCGACTTTGCCGGAATCGAACCAAGCGAGATCGGGGATGTCGAAGGACGAGATGCACGGGTAGTCGAGACACCATTGATGGAGCCAGAAATCGGATCCGTTCCGCATCTCCTCGATGAGGTGATGGCGCTTGTGTGAGGCGGGAAAGTTCACCGGCTCGTTTTTGCGTAGGATATCCGCCATCTTCTCGATCTTCTCGTTAGTGAAGTGACGGCGGAAGAGCAGCGGGTGAATGGCTGCCTTGCGCAGCTGCATCAAGGGATTATTCTCATCCGACTTAGGGACCTTGCCACCCTCAACGCGGATACGGGCTCGTTCGCGGGCTTGGTCTAAGTGGCCATCGTAAATCTCCTTCTGGGCCGGGCGCAGGGTACAATATTCCACTCGAGAGGTTTTAGACGGTAGATGCTTCAGGACCTGAGCCTTCTTACGACGGAGGACGAAGGGTGTCAGCATAGATCTAGCTCGGCTGATTCGTTGAGCGGAGAGGAGAGCTGCGTGGTTCGAATCTCTCGTCGTGGCTTTTGCCTTGAAGATATAATTCAAGTCGTCTTGACGTTCCATAAAGACTTCAGGAAGGATGAATGCAAGAAGAGCGGCCAACTCTTGAAGATTGTTTTGAAGTGGGGTTCCGGTGAGCAGGAGCTTGAATCTGGCCGGGATCCTGACCAGTCCTTGGTATCTCTGAGAATTCAAGTTTTTCAAATAGTGGCCTTCGTCACTGCAAGCCATAGTCAGTATTACTATTTCGTGAGCAATGTAGGGGGGTGGATGTCTCAGGAGCAAAGTGACAAAGAAAGGATTCCATACTATACACACACCTACAGAAGATTAGTCAAGGTCTACATAAACATGGGAAGGAACTTACATCAGGTCTCAGGCGCCTCAAGAACTTATTATCTTCCTTCTTCGCAGCGAGATCGTATGTTGTCACGATGACATTGATGCTGTCCCGTCTCTCGAGGATACTCTCAGCCATCTCTGCGCGCTCCTTCTGGGCACCTAGAATTCATCAGTTTAGGAATCAGACGTTGTAGATCTCTGGGGAACACACCATAGTACGGCTCGACCGCCAGCTTAGGAGAGAACTTCGGGAACTCCCTCAGCCAGTTTTCCAAGGTTGAGCCGGGACAGATAACCAGATGGGGGCCTCTGTTGCCCGTCTCGACGAGATGAGAGAGGAGCGAGATAACCTGACAAGTTTTCCCTAGACCCATCTCATCTGCCAAGATACAGCTCAGCTCCCGTCGGTACATCAATGCCAGCCAGTTAAGTCCAACAACCTGGTAATCCTTCAGAATGCAATCATCGGCCATGATCTCGGGCTTCTTCAAGAAGTTGACATGTCCTCTCTTCCTCTTGCTCCCAACAAGCTTAAGGTCGTCATCGCCAGCATCGTCATTCTGAGAAGCAGCGGCGTCGCTTGGAGACCCGACTCCCGAGTCGCGTGGAGAGCTGAATTCAGTATCGAATGAAGTCATTTCGAGTTCACCATCTTTGGCAGCACCATAGACGTCGAATCCCCATCTGCTCATCTCTTCGGCGAGTGGCTTGCCAAGTTTTTCACACTTGGCAACGAGCGCATCTATACCTTCATAGCCGGAGAACATATCCATGGCCGTATCAACGATCTTGTCGCCGATTGGCGCCTTCGTGCTCTTCTTTCCACTCTTCAATGTCGTGGGGTTAGCCACATTTCTTGCGGCATCCAGATTCTTAAACGGTCGTGCAGCAACCATCGCCTCCGCGTTGGCCTTCGTCGTGTTGGTGAGCTCGACCAGTTCCTCAACCTTACAGGTGTTCAAGTATTTCAAAACTTGCACGCTCAGCTCAGGGTCCTCGTCCGAGGCCGAGGCAACACCTGAGTCCGTATCAAAATCATCGATTAATACAGGTTCGGGTTGCGACTCTGATTTTGCAGGTGATGATACAGCAGTTATTTCAGGTGATGAAGGGTTTCTGCGACCTTGGATAAGTCTCTTCTTCGGCTTCGGAGGAGGCGTCGCAGTAGCAGTTGGCTTTTGGGAGGATTGTGTCGAGGAGTAACGGTCTTTGATGGAGTTAATAGGTGCGTTGAGACCCCGTTTCATCTGGGGCTCTTGCTTCTTCGCTGACTGTGAGCCTCCGATTTCGTCATCTGAGATGACAGTAGCTTCTGCTTGATCGGACAGTAACCCAACAGCGTCGTCAACACTACCCTTGCTAGTCATGAGGGTGTTGTAGGCATGGAGAACCGTGATGTTAGGGAAAACAGTCTTGAGCCTCTTGACCTTGTCTTGTGTCTGCTGATCCAGCGAAGATAGGGGGATGTCCTCAACCGGTCTGGCTCTCTCAGGTTTCATCTGGGTCTGCGGTTTCTTTATACTGCCGCCCATTGACATCGAATCCGCAAAAGGTTTGCCTTTCTCGGGGGGCTTGTAAGCCGCATTAGCCAGAATGCTCTGAAACTTGGTGTTGCCATTAACCGGTCTTGCAATCGGAGAAGCCCCAGAAGAACCCAGAGCACTCCGAGGTACGAATGTCGAAGGTCTAATATTCACGCTATCATCTTCCACATCTGAGCTTCCGCCCTGAAATGTTGGCCCGTCATCGTCGTCAAGGTTGATGTAAGTTCTCGTCGGAGGAGGTTTCATCTTATAAGGTGGCTTGAATATCGTGCCAGCTGGGGCTATGCTGCTTGCCAGATTCTTCACGGGCGAGGCAGCCGCATCCTGCTTTGGCTTCTCGACAGCTGGCTTCGAGGCCTCGACATCTCTGCTCTGCAAGGGAGAAGAGGCAGGGACTTGTACAATGTTCTTCGCAGCATCCAGTGGGCTCGAAGGCACCGGGGCCGATCTATCAATAATCTGCGTAGGCTGCGTCTCGTACCTGTCTTGCGCAGGCGTATCCGGGATGATATAGTCGGCGAGCAACTCATCGCCACTGTCAGCATCTGAATCGTATGTGCCGCCGGTATTGTTGTAGCCAGAGGCAGTCTTCTGTCTCTTGACCGCAGGTGAATCGGGCACCAGCGAGGAAGCTTTTTTCAAGTTCGATGCCATCTTCGCAATATCGTATTAATGACCATGAGATTTTTGCTTTTCATGTAGCAGCCCCCCTTGAAGAGAGATGTAGAGGTGGGGAAAGATCGAATTGGAAAAGAGAGACCAGGGAATATGGCGTTGTGTTGTAGTGGCGATTTCGCTGAGAATTGAGCTGCACGCGGCGCCAGTGAAAGAGTAGTAGTAGAGCGTGAAAGGACTTCCACCGCGTCCCTTTTCAGAACGCGCAGAAACAAGGCTTTTGCCTCGTCGTGTGCGTATTTGAGATCTGCGCAAGAAGCAACAATCCACAAGGAAAAAGGTTCGAGGGAGCAGAGCAGGACGGGCCCTGTCTGCAAGGCTCTGTGATGTCGAGATGGAGGAGCAAGGGCTGGGCCTGAAGGGTCGCGCCGCTTGTCGCCAAAAGTTCGCGCTAAGGAAATTGACTTTACGCGCCGCGCCTGCGAAGTCAGCGGATCTGAATTGCTTTTTGGATAATTATATGTACTCTTTATCAATTGTCATATCACTGTATATATAATCCTATTGTGCTTTCATATTCAATACAACCAACAGTTGAGACCTCTCCCGACAATACCTTACACTCTCCTCACAAGCACAATCAATTACAGCAGAACAATACCTACCTATTCACTATGGCCTCCCGGAGTGTCATCTCCAAGGACGAAACCGACGTGCCTGATTTCCCGGCCCCCGCTGCTGATGAAAAGAGCGATATCTCACCTGCTGTTCCCGCGTGAGTCTCTCTCCCCTCCATCTCCCTCCTCCTCCCTTAGCCACATCCGACGTCCCGACGCCAAATCTTCCCAGAGTTTCTAACACTTCGCCCCAAAAAACAGCCATGTAATCTATAAGCTCCTCGGCTTCACACTAGCGATGGTGGTCTGCCCTCTGGGCGCCTATTTCCTGACTCTGGATCTGCTGTTTCGAGGTATCTATCTATCTTCTCTCTCTTTCTTTTCTCTTCTTCCATTTGATTTTCTAAATATGATATATCATGTATGATCTTCTATGCTGTTCGGGAGATGAATAGGGCAAGAGAGAGACAATTAGCTAAACTAGAAATCCAAGGGAATTCCACGTTCGCTGGAGCAACAGCCGCGATCGTCGCGAATGTCGTGCTGATCGGGTACATCGTCGTGGCGTTTAAGGAGGATCAGAGTGAGGCTAGGGAGAGGAAGGAGAAGAAGAAGTTGTAGTCTAAGTCTTCTTTGATTTTATGTATCGGAGCCAGGATCTCTCAGTTGGGGCTATTGTATTGTATCATCATGTATTGTCATGGAAGCAATCGGGAAGTGGGAATCAAAGACAATAGGATGGATATAGGAAGGCAAAATGTTCATTGAGCTGGCTTGATAGACGCCATCCTGTATGAGTATCCACCTAGTGTGTTCTCGAGTAGAGCAATTATCAGCAGTAACTTAAGGTTATCTACCACAGATTCAACAGTTGAGCCAGCGTCTCCTTACCGGTGACGGATTACGCCGTGAGAGGTCCATAATACGCCATCAATGCAGATAAACAGAGATATTTCCCCCTCCCATCCATTCTTTAACCCAATTATAGCCTTGAATCCCCGTGGATTCACCCCATTGACCATTACCATCGATCGAACTTGGACCCCCGGCCAGCTCGTCCCGCTTGCGTATTTCTCCCAGAACTCCACACCCAGCCTCAGCGTTTATATCACAGAGGAAGCATCACCTCACGAGTTTTTGCTGAAACGTTTTCCGAACCAGCCCTTGCGCGACTTCTCTTCAGCCGGCGGCGCAGCAGGGGCGGCGGCGGGAGCGGCGACGGGAGCGGGAACGTTGGACGCGGCACTCTCGTTGCTCGATCCGAGCTTGATCGGTACCCTGGGCCCAGCACTCTCCATCCGTGACAGTGCCGGTTGTCCCTGGTTTGGGTATCCATAGCCTTGCGCCTGCGCTCCGTTCGCACCATATTGCTCAGCCTGGCCTTGGAGAGGATTGCCGCCATAAGCGTCGTATCCGTAGCTTTCAGATGTGTTCTCACTGCTAGGATCGGTCGAATAGCCCGCATGCTCTCCAGAACTCCCACTTCCCGACGCCGTGGTCGCACTATCATATGCTTGTTGATTCGGAGCCGCAGCATAACCACCAGCCTGGCCATTGTTGAAGTGCGGCTCGGAGGAAGTTCGCGGGTATCGAGCACGGTTGGGATAGTATCCATTGCGGCCATTCTCTGCACCGTTGTTGTAGCCATTTCGGCCATCCATATAGGAGCTTTCTGACCTCTGCGGCTGGGGACGGCCACCATAGTAGCTATTCTGGTAAGATTTAGATCTGTCATCTGTCGTTACTTGGGTTCCTGTAGTAATCGTATTAGCGTCTTGATTTAATGAAGATAAGAAGCTAAGATAACGAGATAAATCCCACGATGGGCGGGGATGGCAATCCCCACGTGGATCGAATGCCAGAGCTTCACCAGCAGATTCCAATCTGCAATACCACCACCTTGCGAAGTAGTTCACAGGCAAGGAACGCTGGTTTGGCCCCCTCTTGAGTTTACGCGCAGGAATTGAGGATTATTTCGCAGGGTAAAAAAAAGGTGCGGCAGAAAAATGCGGGATCAGAAAATATGAGATTACCTCCATAGTAGCTGTTTCTGCGCCCGTGATTCGATGATGAATCCGCAGAATCTGTGAGGATCGTACGTCAGCGTTCCGATCATACAATTGGTGCGCTCCACTTGAGAGCGTAGGGAGGCCTCACCTGAGCGCGAGTATGGCTTCCTAGAATAATTTCCATCAATGGCCGCTTCGAAGGAGCGGATTGTGTCCAGCGGTCTCTCCCATCGACTGCGCGTAGGATTCGATAGATCGGGGTCGGCTACCCAGAGCGAGTTAGTCCGGACAACTTGGCAGACGCTGGGGGAATCGACTAACCAATGGGGTTTCCCTGGGCATCGCGGTGTTGAATCGCCCGAATCGATGCCAATGATGTCTTCACGCTGGCTGCAACGGCAGCTATGACGGAGTGTCAGTCTCGGATACGCATGAAGAGCATCCTTGAATGATTGCGCTCCGCGCAGATGGGAATTGAATTGAACTCACATGGCTCGGCTTCATGGATGGCCAATGACGGGTCGGCTTTGCTATTGAGCCTTCTCGACTCCTTCTCATCGTGCGTTTCGTGTAGGTCGATCTTATTACTGCCACTGCTCTTCGCCGAGTGATTCGAGCGGAAGCTGAAGGAGCTCTTCGCTCTCTGGCGCTGTCCCGGATTCGCCGTAGACATCTTGACGGTCTGACTGTAATAGTAACGGCTCTTGACTGATCTTGATTAAACGATCGTTGTTGTTGTTTGGTTGTTTAAGTGTCTCTTATCTGTCTGAGGGTTGCCACGGAGGCTGGGGAGGCGGCAGTGACGACACCTCGGGTTTTGCGAGGAGAACTCGAATTGAAGAGGCAGAGAATCTTTCTTGTCGAGAGGTAGGAGGAACAGGGCCTGATCAATGAAAAGGGGACGGAGGTATGTACGTAGGATAGAGTACAGTGGCCGTAGGTATGAGAGCGAGTGATGGTCGTCGACACGTCGGGAGCCTGCACGTCCAGGAACGAGTGACTGGAAATACGATGGAGCGTTGACGTCGCGAGGGAAGGATTAATATTAAGATCAACGGGAACGGAGAGGCATTAAGATAGAGAGGCGGCAGGGCGACGGGAGAGGTGGAGAGGATGGAGAGAGTAGTAGTGTAAGGTAGTTGGAGGGACAGGAAGGGGGGAGAAGGGGGGGGGAAGGGGGAGGGGGGCTCCTCTATCTACATAAGTAGTAAAGCACCTAGGCACGGGTAGTATGGTACGATATGTATAGCCTGGACGTATGACAACAAAAGGTACCGGCATCTGGCTACTACTGGGCATTGGGGAGCTGCTAGAAAAAGGGAAAAGGGTAAAGGGTACGGGCGAGGCCTGCGGTATAACGGAGGGACCGGTGCGTGGGAGATCCGTGTAGGTGTGCTGTTTAGGTTCTCGGCTGCCCCAGACTCCGTATTTGTGGTTCACTTTAGCCCGGGACTGGAGGCTTGGTTACGCATTGCGGCGCACGTCAGTCGTCAGGCATAAAAATATATGATAAAAACCCCAAAATTAAATACGGGGCGGCCTGCGTAAAGCTGCTCCGCGGTCGTCACACCTGTCAGGAGGGGCGGAGGGGAGGGGGAGGGGGAAGGGGAAGGGGAAGGGGAAGGGGAAGGGGAGACGGTGGGAGACGGGGCGATTGCTAGGAGTTGTCCATATAAGGTACCTTTTCTGTCTATTACCACCGTACCTTTTCTGTATTATTTTCTCATCCATGATCCATCACACACACACATTCACAGGACTACTGATGAGGATTTTCCTTTGATATTCATTATGATGTTCGCTCGACGTCTCAGCCCCAAGCCCGCAGGCAATAAATCGCCGTGCTCCAACATCTGCTATTCCTCCTCGGTCGTCTTGTCTGTCACTCTCCCGTCAACCGCGACTGTAGCTCGGCGCCCGTCGCATATCGATATACCCGATATCCCTCGATCCCCCGTGCATGTGAGGATGATCCATGATAAGCAGCACGTAAGTCACGGTCTGTGCCAATTGGCCCCCCCGGTCGTGCCATTTATACACACCGTGTCGCCGACCCGCCAACGTCACAGCGCATCGCCCCCCTCGCCGCCTGAGCCTCGAGTCAGCTCGTCTCGACTACTCTCGAACTCTCCATTCGACTACTCCCCATCCCCCCCAGACCCGAACCTTCCCCTTTTCTGTTATCTCTCTTCGAGAACGTTCGGGGCACACGCACTCTTCTCTGCTGCAACGACGTAAGAGGAGAGGCACATGTGGGGGTTCATACGGTGCAACGTTGTAAGTGCATTCATTGCCTCGAGAACTGAGTATCATTGCGCCTGTCGGTCGGCGCAACTATTAGCCATCATGCGCGGCACAACCTCTTTCAAACTTTCGATTATTATTCCAATACGCACTCGTCATGCATGGCTGGTTCCCTGCCGTCGAAACTACTACTACCGAGTAGGTAGTACAGTAGAAAAAACAGGTTGCGGCGCCAGGGGGGTCGTATGTACTGACGCGCTCACCCTCGCGCGCCGTGACTGGGTGGCTTTTGAGATCGTCGGATGCCTCGGATCTCCGGGCTGTGCACGGGAACCGCATCGCATTGGCTGCATATCCCCCCGACGCCCCAAAGGCCTCCACGTTACTGTCTGGAAGAATCCTTGCAGCCGACCACTCTCTTGTCTTGCGTGTTCTTCGTTTCATATTTGTGGTGCTTCAAGCTTGTCTGTTTCAACCTGTCCTCCACCACCTACCTTGACAGTTAACTGGACAATACTACTCGATGCTGATTTCCTGAAGACTGGAGACTGATGGAGACGAGAACGTGGATCCCCTGTTGCTGTGTCGGTGGCCAAGAGAATATGTTCCGCACCGAGAGCCCTTACGATTCATACACATATATGAGTGCCTGCTGTTCGCTGCCTAGGCCATGCGAGCAGTGACCGGTTCCTGATCAGATTGGGGATAATAGCTCTCTGCTAGAGTGAAAGATCGAACCACTTCTGCAGCGGCAGGCAAAAAGAAGATCATCACCGGCAATACAGAGTAAATAACATTGCAGCACGCAACCGGTCCCATGAGCCGCCTATATGCCGCCTGTACGCTGTAGGCCATGCTTTGGGGAACCGCATCAAGGTCGAAGTGGTGGGGGCGAGGCAGCGGATCGCCCCGGGCATCATGCAGACACTTGGTGGTACAGAGATTAGCATCTCCTTCTTGGAACATTACCGGATGGGCCATTTGTAAGGGAGCAGCTCCTCCTATCCCATTTTTGGTTCTCACTCTGCTATATCACAGTCCAGACGCCCGCCTGGTTGGTATTTGTTTTTATTGGAATTCTACCAGCAATGCTATGCATTTACCGTTGCCCCATCGTAGTGACCGATCTGGCAGATCACCAACCTCCCCATTGTTACAAACTCCAAACCATCATCCCTCCTATATCGAAGATGGGTACAGCATAACTCGAACCGATGCGCCAAAGGACTTAGGAGGAAGATTGCGTCTGAATTGTGCTCGTACTACACCAGAGTTGCCTTCAAATTGTTAGTGGCAGGTTCCTGACATTCGCTTTCTGAGTAGCATACCGTGTGGTCTCGTAACCTTGCCCCAGATGATCTTGATCTTTGATCCTCTAACCTCCTTGTTTGCTCGGTAAACGAAAGCAACCTTCTTTCCCAAGTAGAAGCTGGTAGAAATCCGTCAGCACTTCTCCAAGGCGCGCTTTGGCAATCTAACGTACTTTGCTGCCTTGGTGTCATCCACACCCTCGATCTTGATCAAGCTCGTGCCGGGGGTTGTGTTGCGCTTGCCGCGTTGGTAGCTCAGGTGGCGACCCCTATTGAGAATGTACATCAGCAATGGTTCCTTCGATTCCGGCCTGTAAAATCCGCCAATGTCCTCCCATCGATAGTTCGTCCATCTGTGTTGCTCGAGCGGTTGCCGTCTGCCACAAGAAAAAAAGAACAAAATCGCGGCGGTCGAGAATTGGTGTAACTCACTTCACGTAAACTATGATTTGGAGTCAGCATTTGTTTGATCTGGATTAATAGTAGAAAGAAAGAAGCATTGGAAGCAGAGACAGCAATCTTCAGGAAGGAGCCCGGCGCCCTTGCTCGCGGTGAAGTCGGCGCTCTGCTTCCACACAATGCCATTTGATCTAACCGGATGATGGTGAACTTACGGCGGTGACCAGCTTCTGAAGGCATGTTGATGATAATCCCTCTGACTATGGGTAGAGTCGAGAGATGGGAGGAGAGGGTATCAACGACGCGTCCTAGTGAAAAGACTCCGTTGGTGAGGTGGTTGTCGAGGTTGTCGCTGGGCGGTTGGGTTGGACGTTGATTCGAGTCGAGATTTGTCGCTTATGGAATTTCCAAAATCTAGGGTTTGTGGGTGCGCATGGTGGGCGAGCGATCATGTGATTCGGTCTAAACGAAGCAGCGGCATCGCGTGTGAGCCTTATATATCAGCCTTAGGCACCCAAGGTACCTAGAGGCTAGAGACTATTCTATGTCAGGCTCTGCCTCAGGTACCACATATCTCTGCCTTACCTTCATGCCTCATAAGACAGGTACTAAAGAACGGGAACAGGTTTGCATTTGTCAATGATTAGTCATAAGCAAAAGTCACCTCCCGTCTCCCAAGGTACCAGAGTCACCTACGGACATCGTCTGTCGGACGTCCTGTCGCAGGGCAAAACAGCCAGTAGTCTTCTTCGAGTCCGCCGAGGCCAGACCGACAGACCGACAGACCGACAAGCCTAGGAGAAGAGAGAAGAGAGAAAGGAAAACGTGTCGTCAACATGGCTCTTGCTTAGACAATGATTGATTGTATCAGTCTCTCTTTCTCTTTCCACCGCCCCCAAGGGCCCAATGTCTGCGGTCCCAAGCAGAGCGCGCGGAGTTACTGTGCAGTACCTCCATGTTAATAATGCGGCGTTAACACCGCTACAACGCCAGATGCTTTATAATAATAATCCCGTTTATCCTCTCATCAGCCTGTCGCGGTGTCGCCCACTACTGCTGTAATCAGGTAAGGTAGGTCTATGTGACATTACAAAGGAATGCTGGAGGCAGGGGCAACAACAGGCCGTGTCTGGTTATTTATTATTTATTATTATAGATCGGATCGTAGATAAAGGCGTTGACGGAGTTCTTTGTACCATTCCATTCCATCCATTGTCCTGGGCATGGGGTGAAAGTGACGTCTTGAAAATAGATCCCCCCGCAAGAGTTCCCATTGACGTTTGCGAAAGAAAGAAGTCCTCTCTCGAGCTATCAGCCGTCGCCTCCCTCCCCTCCATCTCCAAGCATCGCACCGGACTCGTCCTGTGGTCAAGCAAAGTGGTGTAAAGTAGTGCCGGAAAGAAAAAAACCCCACCCGCCTCCTCTCGACAGGACCAGCTTGCCTTCAAAGTCCGACCGAGAGACGCAATAAGCTGTACGAAGTCGCGCTCAACGTTTTCTTCCCCAGTCCACCGGCTAGCTAGCTCTTCCCCCCCTCGCTCGCACCTAACGACTATCAGATCGTCTCCGTCTGTCTGACTCTTCCTGCCCTCAGACTTCAATTCCTCCCTCCCCATCTATTTTCTTCTCCCCCGCATACACCTATCCGTCTTTCAACATGACTGACACGGTCATCAAGCCGGAGGTGCCTCCGAACGCTGGGTAAGTTTGTCTTGGGTTTTGTTTTCCTTTCTGCTTCGCATCGACGTCACCTGCGGGCGCCTGCGCCTTCCAGAGCAGCGCTCGCAGCAACCACGCACGCCTCGCAAAGCACTGGAAAAATATCTACGAGCTGTGGCACACCTAGACGACCTCTCTAGAGCTTGTTTCGATCTGACACTGCCTTGCATTCTTTGTTGGAGTCGGGTAAACTGATCATGTCTTACCCCGCTAGGTCCATTGAGCTGAAGAACAACACCGTGATTATCGTTCTGGGAGCATCTGGTGATCTGGCAAAGAAGAAGACTGTGAGAATACTCTGCCCCCCCACCTGCTCTTGCGCCTTTCACTAACAATCGCTTTTACTGTAGTTCCCCGCCCTTTTTGGCCTTGTAAGTCGTGCCCGAGAATGTGTCATACTGAGAACAATAGCTGATAGACGCCCCGATAGTTTCGCAACCAGTTCCTGCCAAAGGACATTAAAATTATCGGATATGCCAGAACAAAAATGGACCACGAGGAATTCCTCAAGCGGGTCAAGTCTCACATAAAGACACCAACAAAGGACATGGAGCAGCAATTGCAGGAGTTCTGTGAGCTCTGCACATATATTTCGGGGCAGTACGATAAGGACGAGTCTTTTGTCGAGCTGCGGAAACACCTCGAGGAACTTGAGAAGGGACGGAAAGAAGCCAACCGTATCTTCTACATGGCGTTGCCACCCAGCGTCTTCACTACAGTGTCCCAACATCTGAAGAAGAACTGCTATCCCACAAAGGGCATTGCAAGAATTATTGTATGGTCATTTGCTTCCTGATCCGCGTTGATACCATACTAACTGCTCTTGCACAGGTCGAGAAGCCGTTCGGAAAGGATCTGGCGAGTTCCCGAGAGTTGCAGAAGGCATTGGAGCCCAACTGGCATGAAGAGGAGATTTTTAGAATCGATCATTACTTGGGGAAGGAGATGGTGAAGAACATTCTGATTCTGCGGTTCGGCAACGAATTCTTCGGCGCGACGTGGAACCGCAACCACATCGACAACGTACAGATCACTTTCAAAGAGCCGTTTGGAACAGAGGGCCGTGGTGGATACTTTGATGAGTTTGGTATCATTCGAGATGTTATGCAGAACCATCTGCTGCAGGTCTTGACGCTTCTGGCGATGGAGCGACCTATTTCTTTCTCTGCGGAGGATGTCCGAGACGAGAAAGTCAGAGTCCTTCGAGCTATCCCAGCCATCGAGCCAAAGAACGTCATCATCGGTCAATATGGCAAGTCATTAGATGGAAACAAGCCCGCTTACAAGGAGGATGATACGGTGCCAAAGGATTCGAGGTGTCCAACATTCTGTGCCATGGTGGCATTCATCAAGAACGAGCGATGGGATGGCGTACCATTCATTTTGAAGGCAGGCAAGGCTCTCAATGAGCAGAAGACCGAGATCCGGATCCAGTTCAAGGATGTCACTTCCGGCATCTTCAAGGACATCCCCCGGAATGAGCTTGTCATGCGAATTCAGCCAAACGAAAGTGTCTACATCAAGATGAACTCGAAGCTTCCTGGTTTGAGCATGCAAACCGTTGTCACCGAGCTCGACTTAACCTACCGACGACGATTCTCCGATCTCAAGATCCCAGAGGCCTACGAGTCTCTCATCCTCGATGCCCTGAAGGGTGACCACTCCAACTTCGTTCGTGACGATGAGTTGGATGCCAGTTGGAGGATTTTCACGCCCCTTCTCCACTACCTGGACAACAACAAGGAAATCATTCCCATGGAATACCCATATGGTAAGCTGACCATATACTTGATCGTGATCGATCAATTCTGGATTGAGATGTTAACGGGCGATTTCTAGGTTCCCGAGGCCCTGCCGTTCTTGACGACTTCACTTCATCCTACGGTTACAAATTCAGCGACGCAGCCGGCTACCAGTGGCCTACGACCTCGACCACGCCCAACAAGCTGTGAGTATGCACTAGATCTAGAGCTGGAACGATAGATAGAACGAATTCACGTTGATTATGCCTCCCCCCATATAGCTGATTAGCTCGACTGGCTTCGTCCTTCAGCTTCCCTATGTGGCACGGTCTTTCATACGATTTTCTTCTGTGCATCATCCATTATTTTTTGTGCAGTGGCTTCGTTGAAGGTGGGGGCTAAAAAGCCAATATGAATTTCATAGTTGGTCTTCTTTCGTTTGTACGCTAGACGTCTTCAAAAACGGCGGAAATGAATATGACGAGTGGATGGAAGGCACATAATGACGAGAGCGCTCAATACAGTTTGTATTCATCAGGGGCTCACTACTTCATCTTGATATTCTGATTCCTGCTGCTCCGCGAGATCCTTTACTAGAGTCCTTTATGTGCCCAAGTCTTTCGCGTTTCATTCAGTTTCAGTAAGACTGCTGAATGAGATTCCAAAATAACATTTCTCTTATTGGTCATTCAAACTTGCTCGTGGTATCTATCAATTCCATTGCCTTTTTTTCCAAGCCGCTACTCTAACGTTGATCCCTTCCCACTCGTCATCCCACGAACCCCTCATTCTCTCCTCAAAATTTACCCCACTCAAGAACGGACCCACCTCGCTGACATCCAGCAGCCATTTATCAACCTTCACCATGCGGTCCCTTCCATCCGCGAACCACTCCTCCACATCCCGCAATTCGATCTCCCCATCCTCCACCCAGCTCTGCTCCTTTGAGCCGACCAAGAATGTCAGGGTCTTCAAATCCCGAAACAAGCCGAGACACATCCGCCACTCATTCCGGAGCGACAAGCCGTTTGACGGCAACGGAAGTGCCAAGTGCTGAATATTCTCAAAGCCGGCCACGCTGCACGCCAGCGACTGCAAGCCTCCCTGCGGCCTGTCCAACGAGCGGAAGAAGATCGTATCTCGCTCTGGGATGAAGGGCAGCGGCTTCTCCGCCACCACTGGCTTAGGCACGAATGGCGTACGGCTCCACCTGCGATCGTCAGCTCGCGCTCTCCTGAAATGCAGAATAGGGGGGAGGGATACTTCTTCCCAAAGTCGCGCTGGGTCGGTGTCAAGAAGGCAAAATCCTCGCAGAGCGCGCACTCGCGGCTCTCCCTACACACGGCCAGCAGCGGCGAGCCGCGCGTACACGGGCCCACGAACGTCGGGGCGTAGAACTGCGATGCGAACTGAGCCTCGATGAAGCGCGGGCGCTGCAGCGCGAGCTCCCAGATCTGGAGCCGCAGCTCTAGCGGCAGGAAGGGGAAGTAGATGAATGACGATGACGACGACGAGGAGGTGGAGGAGGTGCCAGCAGGCTCGGGATCCGCGCGCGCCCCGCGCTGCTGCTGCTGCTGCTGCGTCACGGCGATGGGGAACGCTGCGCGGGGGGAGGCAGATGGTGCGAGTAGCTCAGCGAGCAGTGCAGGAGCGGGCCGCACCGCGGTCGAGCGGGAATGCGAATGTGAATAACTCCATACCGCCTCCGCAGCGTTATCGTCAGTCTCAACATCCCGCTGCTGCGGACAGGGAGTGGGCGGATGAACGACGATCTCCGGCACAGCGGTGAGTTGCTGATACAGATGCAGACTCAACGATTTCCTTGTCGGCCACCGCTGATCAGCCTTCAGCTTCTTCTGTCCGTTCTCGAGCCGTGCGAGGCGCGTCTTGATCTGTCGCTTGCGATCCTCGACGTTGGCTGGGTGTTGGATAGGTACGAGATAGTACTGTGGCACGTTTCCCCTCACTGTCATGGTATTTATTTATTTAGCGCTTTCTTTTTTTTTTTGCAAAGTACGACGATGAAGAGCTCGTGTCGTATTAGAGTAGCTGCGCATGCATCGATGCCGTTGCATATTTGTATTCCAACATACAGAGGTACATGTTCTGGTGAGGCTGTGCGTGCGTGCGAGTCGCGTGGGCGTCCGCCCAAAATCCTCGAATCCTGCGATCGTGGGATTGAACAACTTCTACTCTTCCTGAGATCCTCATGGAATTCTCTCTCGTTGGTCTGATTGATTCGTACCGTGAACCTGATCCCCTATAAATAATCCGAGATTCTTCCTTTCCGCATCGATTCATGCCTGCCAGGCAAAGGCATCATCACGTGATATGTCTACATCCTGCTCTCATCAGTGTAGGAATCCGCCGTCGATCAAGAGTAAGAATAGGAGCTTGAATATGATAAGATGTTCTAAAATGATGATTTTTATTAGGGAGGAAAGATTCCTTCGAATGCTTCTCAGGTTCCATCTGACAGGCGCCAAGATTTACATCAACTCACGTCAAGTCCTCAAGGAGATGCTAGGTAGGTAAGCTTCTATTGATGCTCGTTTGTACGTGATAAGGATCAACCCATTACTCTCAAAGACTTAGAATCCTCACCATACCCTACGAATTCGGCGCCCCGTTCCATACCTCGCCATATGGGACGGCAGGGTAATCCCCATTACAAGCATAATCATAATTCGCCTGCGCCGTCGAGTTCCTCTGCACCTCCAAGAACGTCTGGAGCTCGCACCACCCATCCAACCTATCCCTCCCGCATTGCGGAAAGCTGAAGCCCAGTGGCAGAGTTCGCTGGTTGAGGATGAAGTGCACATATGTCGTTTCGCTCCCTACGGTATACGTGCGGTCCGCGCCTAGAGGTTGTGGGGTCTTGATAACTTCGATATCCAGCCTAGCGCCGAATGGCTCGAGGTGTGATACAGTGAGGTTATGAGGCCCGGGATATTTCGTGCTGGGAAGAAACTGGGCGAATTGCGTGAATCCGAAAGCGGTCAGTACAGACATGATATTAGTATCGTGGCTGAAGTCAAAGTAAAGACTTTGATTGAGGGGAAACGTGACGGTGTTGTTGTCCAGCGTGGTGTTGATCTGTGACCCAGAGTAGCCCAGAGTATGGTTCTCGAGGCGCGCGATGACCTCTTGCACATAGCCTATGCCGACTGCGCGGCCGGTGGGCGATTGGAAGGCCGAGCCGCCAGCGAAAAAGAGGTCCCAGGCGTACTCGAAGTCAACCCATTCTTCATAGGTGAAAAGGTTGCAGAAGGCACTGTAGCCGTAGGCGACCTTGCTCTTGGGTCAGTAGGGCCATCGAAATGCGGGAAAGGACGCCTACTGTCTCGTAAGGACACATTACTTGGGCAGCAAAGGTGTCATTGATGGTCCAATCGAAGCCATCAATCCTGGACTGGAAGCGACCTGTGGCATTCTGCAAGTATATGCTTGCCCATTCCGTCATTGCATTTAGACCTCCCGCACTCCGGTTGTTATTGGCATTTTGGCAGTTATCATAACCTGCTAACGAATTGTTGAATCCGCTTTCTTCGATGATCACCTCAATTGTAGCATTAGTTGTCCATTCCAGACCGAAGAAACCTGCCAGGAAGTATTCCGCGCTCTGTTTGAAGGTTAACTATGATGCGTGGGAGAAAAGAACGACGTGTTAATAACCGACCTTCAACATCCGGTCCTGGGTTGTGGTTCGTGCAATTATCTTACTGTTGGGATTGTACAATTGCGCATATTGGTAGTAATGTAGAATCCCACTGTTGAAAAGCTCCTGTCGCCCACGAGGAACAAGAATCTCTTCACCTAGCTCATATTTCCAAGTGTTCAAGAAGGATAGAGGACCAGTCGCCTTGAAATTCCCCGTCGCATTAGCAATTCGCTTGCCAAAAGTCTGCACATTGCTTCCTCCAGTGGGATACCTTGACCCATGGCGTGAAAGCATCTGGTAGTAATCAGTGAAACTTGAACCACTAAACATATCCCTGAAACCTACTTGGACTTGGGAGATATTTGCCCCAGGAGGAAGGGGATATTCAGCGACCCCGAACCCAATCGGATTTGAAAAGTAAGGGGAGAGATTTCCCATCAGCTGAAAGATGCTCTCGTTCTGGGCTTGGCCTATGATCGGCCCAGCCGTTTCGAGGGGGTTGTTGGGCACGAAAGTGACGGTTGGAGCAAAAGATACCGGGTTGGTTTGAGCCAGAAATGGTGCCCGCCCAGTAGCCGTAGGTCCAGCCCATAGTTCAGGACTTGTCTGAAAATACTGAGGTACGCTGGAAGATGGAGAAGAGCAATCGGTGGATCGGCGCCGGTCAGGAAGGGTTGCCTTGTCTGGAAGAACAGACGAGACGGTAGGACTGGCAAGTACTGAGTATGAACCCAATAATAACATACAGGTAAATACAATGATCACGGCATTTCTCAACAATAGACGCCCCTGAGAACTAATAGGAGATCGTGAACCCTCAACTTGAGGTATTCTTGAGTTCACATGTTTCCAATTCTCTCCCACCGGACTCTCCATCAAGACCCCCATGTTCCCAGGTAGTAAATGAAAGAAATAAGCCAGAATCCTCTTACAGCCCTGGAGAACCAGCTGCAAATTAGGTTGTGAAGGTTGTTGAGAGGAGGGAGCACCCCAGATGACGATAGGTACCTATGTTGTTTACCCTAGCGACACTACCCGTATATGTTTATTTACACGCCTTCCTAGGGTGTATATATAGAACCCCTCGTGGCTTCCGGCATCCCCGCCGCTTACGCTGGAAGCGGGCAAACAGTTTGGCAGTCAGAACGGATACTTCATTTCAAGTAGGTAGGCATGGAACCATGGTGCAGATACCTCAGCCACCGAATACTATCGTTCCCTTTGCTGAATTGAATTTTCGTGACGTGAAAATCCTTGGGAGTCTAGTATTAAGGACAGTACTAGTACAGATAACAAGGCTAAGGCTAGTACTAGTACAGCTGACATAAACGATGGTCATGATGGTCATGATGGGCACAGACGGACTTTACAGATTATGCCGTTATGATGGTTGGAGAGGGTGGCTGAGAGTGATGTAGCCTGGAGAGTATACATGGCTTGAGCAGCTTAGGTTTGACATGTTCGTGCGTAGATATATAATAGTGCTGAATCAGTTCACCGGAAAGTATGCTACATAATCAGAAGAATAGAGATAGAACTCATTAAGGAATGGAGTCTATAATGTGGTAAAGAGAAGATAATTACAGGCCAAGAGGGGCCACGTCCATGTGGTGACAAGACTTGACTTCCAAATGAGATAAAAAAGTCCTGAACAAACAGAACTGAGAATAGGCCCCAGGTAATATAGATAGAGAAGAAGAAATTATCAAAGGAGTGACAAGATAGCACAAAGGAGAAAACAAATGAAAATCAAAGGAGTTCGTGAAATTCAGGGCCAAATTTAATCCTCCGAACCCCTTCGGGAACCCTTCACTCGTTTAGTCCTTCTGTTCACCGAACTGGCAGGCCTTTTCTCGGCTGACGGTGAAGCCGATCCGGACTCTCCTTTAAGCTGGGCAATGATTGTACCCAACTTCTCGCGGTAGGCTTGTGGCGCCGGGCCCCAACCAATTGTCCTCAATTTGGATAGAATTTCTTCCAGATCTTCCACAAAGGGTTGTGCTTCAAAGAGGCCCTGAAGTTCTTTGATAACGAACATTGGTCCAGCAGGATTTGCTGGGGAGGTAGAACCAATTAGTCGTTGATATAGATTGCGATTGGTCTGTGGTTCGCCATGTGGTCGGCGTCTTGGTAGCCTGTCATCCTGGTAAACGTCCTTATTGCGATTGACAACTTCTCGAAGGATGGAAACGAGAGCTCTGCTCGCTTCTTCTCTTGCTGATTGGCTTAACGGTTGCCGCCCGATAATGTTTTGGCCGATTGAATTAACAAGGTCGGCAAGAGTTTGGGCGCACCAGATTACATCGTGATGTATCTCTCCAGGGGCGGGTCCCATCTGAGCGTACCTATCCATGAGCTCACATGTTGCATGTGCCTTCAAGTCCATGCTTCTGAAGTATGCCGAAGCACGTTTGTTGTGAGACACGATTGGCTTGAACCGGAAGAAGGCATCATCGTCATAAAGGAACCACTTCGAAAAGGTTCCCCCAAGGTCACCGGGCATTGCTATATCTGCGATAGTGATATCATCCGGGGATTCGAATATATCCTTCCGGTAATCTTCCGTACGCTCCAAAGATAATGTAGCCATGATATCGCGAACGGTATTCCTCCTCTCTCTGAGTAATCTCCTGGTCTGTCGGCCAAGTTGAGATGGGGAAAGCTTCTTCTTGAGCTCCCACTTTGATTCCTCCGATTCCTCTGAATCCTCCGAGTCAGATTCAGGCAACCCATCTCGAAACTCCCAAAACAGATCCTCGCACACATTTTCCAGTCCTCTTTTAGTGATATATTGAAAGAGATCGGGGCTGTCTCCTTCGGTCACTGACATGTCGGTCCGAGTCAGCTGCTCCAGAAGCCAGCGCCCATGCCGGCAGGGTCCAGTCTCGTCGCAGGAGCAGGTTGTCTCCGTGGGGCTGGCCGCACTAATCCGAACGCCATATCTCTTTACCTGGGCCTCGGCGATCTGGAAAGCATATCTGGGGCTTGAGGGTGTTCGCTCTCCCTCCTGCTGCATAACATGCGGGCGGCAGTGATCAAGAGCAAAGATGTGTTCAATCAGGGAGCTGCCATCATCATCGGGAGGTGCAGGCTCTTTCCCTGTCCCGGAAGGTTCTCCACGCTCCTGGTCTCGAGACGACTCCATTAGAATATGAGAGATTGAGAGTTTGCTGAAGCCGGATATCGGAGCCGACATGAGGGGGTGAGAGATGCCGGACTGGAATCGAGGAAGCCATTTGCGGGAAGGGTGTGACTTATATACAGTAAAGGTGGTGATAGATTCATTCCTCTGTCCCGAGGAATATTTCCTTCAATGTCAGTATTCCAAAGCTGTGCGGTGTAGCAATCAATGGTACTCAGCCTTTCCTAATTCCAACAGCGCTTAGAAGCAAAGGCCGTTGATGAGGTCGCGCAAGGTCTCCCAGAGGGCCGGCTGGGCAGCACAAGGAGACCAAGCTGGAGGAGGGGGCCTGTGAGATATACTGACTTATGGCCCAGGCAGTCGGGGCGAATAAGCGTTGGAGAGGTCTTATTGGTGGCCAGCCGCGGTGACGGTTGACGGGGGGATCATTTAGGCTGGGCTCTACGGGCCCAGAGGTGATGGTCCTGAATCCTGATGGATGATGGCCCTGGCTACCTGGGACGCCCCGTAAAGCAATCAATCATGGCCGGTCTCAGGGAGAGGGGAGGGGTGGCTTTGGAGAAGGGGTTTCTTTGCTGTGCGGTGCCTGGCTGTGCGGCTGTGCCATTCATTCATTCATTCCCTTCTCCTTGCGCTTCTCCTTGCGCTTCTCCCCCTTCTCCCTCCCTTCGCCCCTTCAAAGAATCCATGACGATAGTCGACCACCCCTTCTCTGTTCCCACTTCTATAGAACGGGCTCTGGTCACGACAGACCCGGCCCCGGATGGAAGACAACACTGTTGGGAAGTTGGCACGATCTGCGGGCGGCGGCACTTGTCAAAGATGCGCGCGTAAATCGTATGATGCGATACGTACCTTTTTTCCCCATCTCTCCAGGAGTCCAGTCCCAGCGTGAGGGCCGAGAGCTAGGGAGATCAATCACTATCACCGCCCGCGCATATGCACCGCGCCGAGTGGCCCATCCCATCCCCAACCCAACACAACTATTGCTTTGTGGTCCCACGCCCGGCGACGTTGTATCTATCTTGCTGCTCTCACAGGCATAGTGCGGTAGTACTGTTCTCTGTCCTGCGTCTTTTGCGTCTCTGAGCCATACCAACACACGATAGCCGGCCACCGCGCGCAGACCGGGGCCACCGTCGCGGCATTTCCAAGAACCCCATAGCAAACACAAACACAGCATCATGACACTGTCTTCTCAGCGTTGGTTCATCTTACGGGCCAAGGTTCCCACGAAGGCCTCGAAGCCTCTTTCGTATCACATCATATGGGCAGAGAGGTGTTGGTAAATGCACCGATCTGGCCCGGCGAATCATCACATCAATTTCAGCTGTTGGCTAGGCTCCCGCAATTGGTTCTACGACTGCGCCGCCGGGCTCCCGGACAATATTTCTGATGTGAGAACTCAAATACAACTACCATTCATTTGCTATTTGTTGTTTGCCACCCTCGGCCCTATCTGCCCCAACTCCCCTTGCCGGGTATAACCCCTCAACCCCTCTCGACATTACATTCCGTGCCTTGTGCCCGGACCTATTGGAGGTCAAGTACCACTCTCCCTTGCACTGGATCATGGAAAGTCAGTGACTGCCTGCTCAGGGCTGAGAGAAAGGGGCTTTGGAACCTGTTTCATGCGTTGCAAGGCAACTCCACTCCAGAACACTTATTCCGTGAGCGAAATATGCCCTATTACTCGTGAAACAGTCCGGGATAGGGAGCAAGTTGGTTTCCGGGGGGTCTTACTCTTTCCTTCTGACATCTCATGGAAGACATCTGTCAGCTCCTCCAACTTCCTCACTTTCAGATGGGTCTTCACGATGCCGCGAGCGGCCATATCGAGAACCTCCAAAGCCTCTCGCTGGTTCCCTACAGCCGAACCTTTGATATTCCATTCCTGTGTAACCTAAGTTTGCCGGAGAAGTCAGCTTCAGCTACTTGCGGGCCACTGTACCAAATACCAATGAAAGAACAAAGAAAGAAAGCTCTGGCATGCATCGCCACTACCTACCAAGACAGCAGGGAATGCCTTTTCAATAGGTTTCGAATCGCCTTCAGGCATACCAACGCAAACCAGTGTTCCTCCAAACCTCAGGAAGTCAAGTGCCTGAGCATAGGCACGGTTCGCAGCAGTGCACACAATGACAGCTGAGGCTCCGAGGCCGCCAGTAACTTTTTTCACTTCTGCAGCAAGTGTCTTGTCATCAAATTTCGTAATATCGAGGAAGACCTCGGCACCACATTCTTTGACAAGATTCTCTTTGCTACCATGATCGATACCAATGATACGGTAGGCCATCCCTCGAGCTCCAATCTGGGTGGCAAGATGTCCCTGTCTTCTGCATTAGTGAGGAGAGGCTTAGAATGAGGGGCTGATTACAAGTCCTCCACCAGCGCCAGCTATTACATGTCAGCCAGTTCAGCTTTTATATCAGGCACAGATGACTATACAAATGACTACCCATTGTCCACTCTTAGCATCACATTTGCGCAAGGCAGAATATCTAAAGAATGTCGTCAGCTTCGGCTAATTCATGCGGCCCCTTTTTTGACCCGCAGGCCCCTTTTGGGCAGTGCTATTGTGGCTGTAATTTCGACACTCACGTTGTAACTCCTGCGCAAAGCATTGGCGCAGCATCTTGAGAGCTCAAGCCATCCGGAATTGGAGTAACATAGTTCGCTGGCGCAAGGGCGTACTCTTGAAACGTTCCCGGATCTATAAGTCGTTCAGCAGATGTTCCACACCATCAGACTGCGAGTCAGCTTACAGTAATACCCCGAGATCTTTTGGTTCTACGTTTGCAAGGCCTATTAGCTATACTGAAAAAGCGAGAATTCCGTCACTCACAAAGCAGACACCGTCTTTCCCCTCAAGACAAGGAGCACACGCTCCGCAGGCATATGCGACCCACTAATCGACTCTTAGCTTTCTTGCTACATCTGCCTCTTCGTCGGGTATACTGGCCTTGATGCCAACTCGATCACCCACTTTGACTCGACCGTTCTCACTTCCGGGGCCAAGCTTGTGGATGATCCCGATCCCTTCATGCCCCCCTACTTGTGTCGGCGGAACCATCATTGGAACTGCAGAAAAAGTTACAATCTCCCTTTAAGAGTGGACGGCTGGAACATACGCCCTCGCCATGAGTTTTCCATGACTCCCATATCGGAATGGCAGACGCCAGAGTGTGTTCTGGAATCGCAAGCCGTCAGCAGCTACAAAAGCAGCCGGTGGGACGCACAATACTCACAGTCGAACAAGCACATCTCCTGGTCCTGGCTCGGGAGTCTCAACCTCCACGATCTTAGTGGAGATAGTACCTGGCTTGTCATATACAGCCGCCCTGTGCGTCTTGGGGATATCGTACACCAACATTGTCGTTGCGGCTGCTAAGGTTACTACAGGAGTAATGATTTGTGCAATAGGGATGGGAACTGATGGGTTATAAAGACAAGATGGAACGGCCTCATATTTATACCTCTCTTGACGGAGCCGACCACGAGGGCGGATCTCCCCAGAAGAATGCGGGATACCCCCCACCCCCGCACTTCTGGGGTATAAGATGGGAGAAGTTCTCCCGAGGTCTTATCCCCGAGCCGTGCATCGAGGCGGGGTCGTTATCAGTATATACGAGGTTGGTTTGTAAGGCAAGGATTTACGGTTGCTCAGGATAAGTAGGTAGGTATGCACAAACCCATTCTCATTCCCATTGGTGTTTCCGGCATCAAATGTCATGTGACCGTCAATCACATGTCTCCGTCACGGTCCAGGTGAATTATCACGTGACTGTTGATATATGACGTACTTGTCGAAGTACGTCAGCGAGAGGAAAGGACTCGATTGAAGAGGGTCTAGAGAGACTTTATATACACAAACGCAAGGATATGATGTGACCTGTCTCCACGTGACAGTACATTACTGGGTACTCAGGCACTGCCCCCCATCTTCACTCGGAGGCGTCGGAATGTTTGCTTTCTCTTATTTATTGTTGTTCCTCCTTGGCTGCTCTGTTGTAAATGATAATTTGAAATAACCTTCCTCCAGCTATATAGTTCTTTTTCTCGTCAAAAATGTCTTCCTCAATGAACAAGCAGCAGCCCCAGTCTGTCCACGGCACCCAAGAGCAGCGCAGATATGGCGCCTTTCAGAACAAGATATACCGAGGCCCGTTTCACAACCTAATAGCTCTCAATTCCCCGTAGCTAACTTCCATCTCTGTTTAGATGGGTTGCTCCATCAGCAGTTCCCCCTCGTCACTACAGACCCCAATAAGCTAGAAGAGCAAGCCAAAAGCAAACTGCCGCCAACGTCCTATAATTATGTGGCGGGGGGAGCTGGAGAAAAAGCAACTATGGACGCCAATCGTTTGGCATTCAGGCAGTGGAAAATGGTGCCTCGCATGTTGAGTGGGTTCCGCTGTATTTGGTGGTATTTTTCTGAAGGAGCGTTTGCTGATATAAATCAAGGACCCACGACACAGCGAGATTTGAGAATAAAGCTGTTCGGCGAGACATATGGTAATCCAGCCACCAAACCTACCATCTACAGCGGAAGCGAGAATCTGACTCGAAGATTGCAGAGAGTCCAGTTCTCATGGCTCCAGTAGGAGTCCAAACCATCTTCCACGAAGACAAAGAAACAGGTCTCGCGGAAGTCTGTTCCGAAATCGGTGTTCCGTATATCCTCTCGACGGCGTCGAGCTCCTCGATCGAGGAGGTTGCAAAGGCCAATGGCAACGGCCCGAGATGGTATCAACTTTACTGGCCACAAGATGACGATATCACCATCTCCCTTCTGAACCGAGCCAAGGCCAACGGTTATACAGCACTAGTGGTAACGCTCGATACCTGGGCATTGGCGTGGCGACCTGCGGATCTGGATGGCGCTTACATCCCCTTCATAAAAGGCGTGGGAAACCGAACAGGCTTCACAGACCCGGTATTTCGTGAGAAGTTTGCGAAGAAATACGGCGGAACCCCTGAGGACAAGGTTCAGCAAGCGAGTGAGGAATGGGTTGGCGAAGTCTTCTCTGGTGCGGCTCATACCTGGGATCAGCTTGCCCTCTTGAAGAAGCACTGGGATGGACCGATTATCCTGAAGGGAATCCAACATCCGGAAGATGCGAAGCTAGCTGTCAAACATGGATGCGACGGCATTATTGTCAGCAACCACGGCGGTTCGTATTCTCTATTTCGAGCTCAGCTAAGGGCCCTTCTAACACATCTATAGGTCGACAGTTAGACGGCGCCGTCGGATCTCTAGAGATGCTGCCCGAGATTGTGGAAGCAGTGGGGGATAAACTGACCGTTATCTTTGATAGTGGCATTCGAACCGGGGTTGATATCATCAAGGCATTAGCCCTGGGAGCCAAGGCTGTCCTCATTGGTCGACCTGCAATCTACGGTTTAGCAGTGGGAGGGAAGGTACGTCCAGTCCGATGATCAAGAGTGCTCGCGTCCACGTGCTAATAACACCGTGTGCAGCATGGAGCAAAGCAGGTCTTGCAAGGCATCTTAGCAGATCTCGACCAATCCATGGGCCTGGCTGGGATCCAAAATATCGCGGGTTGTAACCACTCCATGATTCGGAGGGTGCAATATGGAGGAGATCTGAAGACTTCGAACTAGATAAAGCGGGAGAGACAGAAGAGAGAGAGATATGACTTTTGCCCTAAGTGGCAGTTTATGAACGTAGAGATGACTTGAAGACATAGCTATAAATAATGAATGAATGAATGATCAGAATGAATGATACGCTTAATACTTGTGTTGAAGGGTCTATCCAGCTTGAGATCATGCTATCCTCAGTCGAAAGATGACTTTCATCTCAGGAATTTCATATCCCCGCATTCTCAGCATAGGAAAAAGGAAAAGAATGTATATCTTATTTCAAACACAAATTCTGCATCGTTCAACCGTTTATCCATCCATTCAGCAACTGATCAAAGCACCTCGTTAACATCAGGAGGCCTCTCAAATATCCCCATTATCATAAATATGCGGATCACCTCCTGAAGCATATAACTTCCTATCTGCTTCAACATTCTCGGTAATTTCTCAGGTGTTATCCAAAAGTGCCCCGCATACCTAGGTATGTATGACTCGGTGATGGGGCTCCGTCTTGATCGTCTAGGATTTATTCAACCCCAGATTCGGAACTGAACACTAAGCCCCGGATATGTCGTGTAGAACAACCATCGTACTGCACGACTAGATAGGTCCTGAGATGCGACTAGGATCAACATCGGTATCGGAATCATCTCTCGAGGCGGGGTTCTTGACTAAATAGGTTAATTGTGAACTTGCAGTTCGTGAATTCCTAATAGGAGGGGCCACCGCCCCGCCATTTTAGGATTCAAGACCGCTTCAACAACGCTCACCCTTCCTCTTGGTCTCCCAATCAGAAAGAAATTTCTTTAGGTAAGATAATGACATCGGTTTAGTGACGAAATGGTCCATGCCACATTCAAACGCCCGCTCCTCATCTTGATTAGTAACCTGGCCCGTCAAGGCAATGATGAATGCGGGAAGCGAGGGGGTCACTGATCCCTGAGCCTTGTTCCGCAGCCTTTCGAATTTCCGGATGCGTCTCGTGCTTTCGAAGCCATCACAGACCGGCATTGAGAGATCTAGAGGCGGTTAGCGGGAGCTGAATGTTGTGAGAGGGATAGGGAGGTGGATAATTACCCATGAAGATAAGATCAAATCCATTCTCGTGGGATTCCGAAATCTTGGCAGCTTCTAAGCCATTCTCAGCACGTCGAATGTTAGTGTAGCCTAGCTTCTGCAAATATGCTTGCAAGATGTTCAGGTTGATGCTATTATCGTCCACACATAGGATGTGTGGTTGCCCTGGTCTGGTAGCCTCTGTTTTGGATTGCTGGGAAACAGGAGACGGTCTGTCCTTGTCGGCTCGATCATCGATAGGATTTGCAGCTGTCGGACTAGGTCCTTTAGGTGACTCCTGCTTTGACTCTGAGCGTTGTTGGGATAATTTCTCAGGAGATTTTGCGATTACCCCGTATGAAACTGCGGCTTCGCTAATACCGGGAGACACAGATGTCTTGGATGAAAAAGAGGGTTTCCGAGGTAGACTGATGAATCCCTCTGATAGACTCCGCGTCAGAGGCTTTGTAGCAGTGGGCTTATAAGCCCACGCATTAAGCAGGCCTGTTGCAAGCCTGGATGGTCCAAAAGGCTTTAGGACATCCTCGGTGCGTGCCGGTAGTAATTTATTTGTGACGGGAGTACTGCGAAGAACCACGATACGCAAGGGAAGAGGAGGATCTCTGAAGTTTGAGATGAGCCTCTCCAATGCATCCTCGTCAACGATGACAAAGTCCGCATGAGAGAAGTCCGTGGTGACTTTCATGTTAAACCACTGGACGATATATAATCGGAGGGATTCTCCGAGCAGAGTGGTAGACCCAAGTTCAGGGCCATACAAAGACACCGTCTTGTTGGCACATTGCGCTCGTAATAAGGATGGTGATGGATCCGGAGAGGGTCGACCGGCCTTGGGGGATCTTGGCTGTGCCCTCTTGAGTGGAACGGTCACCGAGACTTCTGTCCCTTTGTCAATTTCGCTTTCTATCGAGATTTCTCCCCCAATATTCTGCATAATCTTCTTGACTGTGCTTAATCCGAGGCCTATTCAAACGGTCAACTGCCTACTCTGGATAGGAAACGAACAACTGGGGATTTCTACCTGTACCAGGAGCCAGTATTGATTCCTGGCTAAAAGGTGAGTAAAGTTTGTTGCGGAGGAAGCTTTCCGATATACCAATGCCGGTATCAGAAACTACCATGGTGAGATAATGCCACTTTTCTTTCTTGTTTGCTTGTTCGACGAGTGGTCCTATTTCGAGACTGATTCTGACATGGCCAGCGTGGGTGTATTTTAAGCTATTTCCCAGTAGGTTCATAAGGACACGTTGAACGGCCCCGGGGGGGCACGAAAAATTCCAATCTCCCGGAGCTATATCGAGGATGACGGTGACGTGCTGGTGTTGGACAGAATCAGTTTCAAAGGTTTGGTATAGATCGTAGATGCCAGCCGCGTCTGATTTTCTGCGTAGCTTCTGGATACCTGTATTCCTCTCATCCAGGGGGTTGCCCGCGCAGACAGTGGTAACGACGGCTTCGTAGATGCTGGCAACATCTACATCTGAAAATAACCCCACTAGAGGCGTATTTTCTAACCCGGAATTTATTTTAGGCAAGTTGGACCTCAATCCGCTGCGCGCTCTTTCTTGCTTCTGCTTTGTCTCAGGCAGATGGTGATGCAATTTATTGACCTATGCAAAATAAGCATATCCCCGCAACGTGGGGCTGTGGACAAAGAACAGAAGACTCACCTTGCTGTAGTCTAGAATATTGGACACTGTATTGAGTAGGGTTTGTCCGCAACTTTTGATGGTTTCACAAAGTCCTCTCTGTGAACTGTTTAATTCCGATTCCGACAGAAGTTCTTTTGACAAATTAGCATATGCTGGGCAAATCAGGGAGTTGTAACCTGCCTGTTGACGCTAAAATGCCATGTAATGGGGACCGGAACTCCTGTAATAAAAATGTAAGCACTCGATATCACTAGAAGATCAACGGTAATCCTTTCGTCAATGGAAACTTACATGGGAGATGCTCGATAGAAAATCTCCTTTCTGGCGATCTGACAATGCTACAGAGACCCTGTCCCACTCCACGGCGACGTTGTTGAGAAAGGCCCGAGCGAAAGCGACCTCGATTTCTGTTGTGAACACAGGGATTTCGTGGAATGATACAGCAAAGCATGCACAAATGCAATGAGAGGTTGTCGGATCAATAATAGGGGCATAGAGAACTTGTCGTACCCCTGGAAAGCAGGCAGTAAGAGCGTCACCCTCCACCGCAGAAGAGAGCTTTTGCCGAGGGGATCCGTCCGTTTCACTGTCTGATTCAGTGGAGCTGTTCCCGTCTAATGCTAATGGGGCCTCTTCGACAGAAATCATGCTCCCCGTTGAATCAAACGACCATAGATGCCCTTGAGGGTATTTCTTTATAATTCGCCTCACGATATTGATGCCTAAATTACCGAACTCGTTTGAGCGCGTACAAGTTTGGCTTGTGGTCGAGCATTTTTCAGTAGAGAAGCTGAGAATATCTGCCCCTGGAATGTTTATTGCTTTGTTTTGTTGCAGTTGTGCTGGGGCCTTCACCTGCTCTTCCGATACGGGGACATCCTTCGAGGCTGCCATTAATTAACACGAAATCTTCGTGGTTCTGATTTGGTTTTGATAACTTACCAGGTTGCACAGCTCCAGTCCTTGTGTCGAAGAAGACAGTAACATGGACATTCAAAGACTCTCGAAGTAGATTCGAACCCCTTGCAAGAACTTCTGCATGCGATTGACTCACGCGATTCAAACCAACACCAGAATCTCTTCTGGACCGTCGTTGCGGAGCTGGTGAGTGATGGTCATATGACGACGAAGCCTCCGGTGCTGCGAGATCCTTGGAAGGCGCAAAGTACTTTTCAGAATTCTGATGCTCGTCGATCTGTCTTGCATGAGCCCGGGTGGTCCCCGTATCTGCACTACGCAGGGACTTCCATTCCGAAGGAATGCGTTGTCTCCCTTCAGTAAAAGCAGCTAGGCCCTTGGACATTGTCGTTACCCGTTTCTGTTCTTCGGATTCCCGCTGCATATCCAGATACTGCATCACATTCGAAGCCATAAGGCCAAGGAAATCGATCTCGGATTGTGCTAATTCTTCTCCTCTTGGGTGTTCATCGAGGATAGATAAGCATCCGATGCGGTACCCTTCTCGTGTTACCAAGGCTAGAAAATCAAGGAGTCAGTAAATTCCTCAATAGGGGGGAAGTGGCTATGGAGCTCGATTCATGAGTTGCAAAACGCGCTTACTCCTAAGACAGGGTCTTAGTAGCCACGAATGTTAGATACCACCGTAATCGGAATATAGGATATCAACTACTGGATTCATCCTGGTGAGTGACTGCGAGGGAGCCAATCAAAGTTGTCCCACGGAGTAGGTCCCAGCACATTTCAGATCCGCTTGATTACCAGAAGAGAGCAGGTAATTAAGAACGGCGAGTATAAAACATGGTCAACCACCGAAGTAGATCCAAGTATTGATATCCCATATCCTGATTCTCGTAGTAATTCATGAATCATCTGGGGAGAGAGAAAATCGTGCTCGCTGGGCATTCTTACGGGTGCTGGCATAGAATCTTAAATGCGGAGCTTCCTCGACGTATGACAGATTCCGGAACTCTGAATGTTCCATGAGATCGAGAACACAGTAGCAAGCATATCCTTGTTCGGGTGTAGATGTATTGATCGCATGCTAAAGCCAATTAGCTGTAGTTCGAATGACATCTTGGTAACGAATAGGTCCAGTACCGTGCATAATATATCCCTCTGAGCGGTATGCCTAGAAACGTTTGAGCTTCGCCATGACATGCAGGAATCAAGTAGTCAACTAACCCATAAGAATTCATCCATAACCTATCAGAATCACCAATATTCCACAGCTCGAGGTCTTGCGTGGATTCTGCTAAGATATACTTGACGATCTCCAGTCAATATATCAGTCTTTTGCATCCCGAGCACTGCTTACCTGAAGACGCCGGCCCACGAGGCTGATGATCGCCCTCTGTACGCCTAATTTCAGAGTGACGAGCTGTGCGAAGGAGGTCAAAGTGGTGTCGGGCCTGGGCCTGTTCGAGGGAGGATTTCCTCGAGAATGATCATCTTCGTTCCCTACGGTGCCGGTAAGAGCGAGATACCTATGGACGTGAGTGAGCCGGGGCCGTTCGCCTTCACCATAGGCAGTCGCCATGATGGAAGGGTGGCGTATAAGCGTTTCTAGGGGTGAAGCAGTGAGATGGATCGTCCGCCATAAAGAAAGCGCATCTCTAAGACCACGACAGGAGTAATATCAAGAATAGTGATAGTAACAGGGACGTTGTATGTAACGAGGAAACGGATAGTTGCGGACGTACTGAGCCAAGACCATAAGGCCTAGGTCGTCGTCATCCTCAACTGGCGAGGACCTCCACACGCTAGAAAGATAACAACGGGAGTTCGATTCAAAATCAGCCAGTACCTGTCTACCGTATGAGTATCAGGTCGTGGTGGCGAGGTCGGTACCTGTTGCTCTCCTATATGTAGGTATGCATAGCGTGCCTGGCCTGTTTAATACAACGTCACTAACCAGGCTACCCACTGCCGTACCCTCCGGTGGGTATGCTTGTCCCCATTTCGATAGCCGCTTAACTCTCGGATAGAAAAAGTGACATTTAGTCTGTCCCTCCGAAGGTTCCTGGGTGTTGGTGGTCATAGAAATAGGTAAGTTCGGATTTAATGGTTGCGTATACGTCAATTAAAAATCGACTCGGGGTTAGGACAGGGCCCAACAACCTCCAGTTACACCAACCTTAATTTAACCCGAAGGCTTCTAAAAATCTTTACCATGCTCGTTCATCGGACATCCGTGATCGTAGCAATATTTTCACGATGTCGCATCTAAGAACTTTATGTGGTTCGGCGACGCCCAATTTCTGCATGCACTGCCAGTCAGCATCAGTGATCTGGGATATTGGGATATTGGGATAGCCTCGCACCATGGAGTAAGGAAAAGAGAAAATGATTGCTCGGCCTTTGTCAGTTTTGTCAAATCGCAATACGTCTCAGACCCGGATTAGTACTTAAGAACTTGGCGCAGCTATCGCCCAAAAGGAGCTTCCTAAGATGATTAACATCCGACCGTTTGAGTTCGGTGACTCAGAAAAGGATCACAAAATCAGTGCTTCACAAGTGCGGGAGTGATGGCGATTTTAAATGTCATGTTATGGTAGGTATGTAGAAAGGGTATTAACGAACGCTTTGATTTTCTTTCCCCAACGCCACGCGAAAATGCACCCCGCGCGAAAACTCCTGCCAGCTAACGCCTTTAGATCAATACTCCCTCGTGAAATCTCAAATTACCCTCCCTCTCGGACTTGTGGTCTTTGAGGGGGTTGGCGAGTACTCTAGCGAGTTGCCTCTGTACACATAGGCTATTGTATTATCAGCACTAGGTCCTATATATATCAGGGCTAAACACTTACGTTGACCCTTCTGTAAACCAGCCAGCCCGCTCTTCTCCATCATATCACTGAAGGTGGTCTGATGACTTGTTCTTGTATTCCTGCTTGGACCTGCTAACCCGTTTTCCCTCAATGCACTCGCTGTGTCGCCATCCGCAAAAATATTGATATCCTCGTAACTGGGCTCCCGTTGCAATATTGGAGTGACCGGTCGCCCACGCTCCTGCACCATTGGTCTATTTACCTTCAACGAAGCCGGAGTTGGAACCGGCGGCACACCTGGCGGGCTCGATCTGGGTGTCGCATCAATGTTCGACCTGCTAAACAGAGAACGAACACGTTGCACGCTGGCGTGTCGAGACACGGTAGTACCTGCATCCGTCGATGGTGACTGCGTTTGCTTGCGCAAGAAATCGCTGCGCATATCACTTTGAGGCTGGGGTTCTGATATGTTTCCAAAGGAGGAGCCGCTGTTTCGACGAGATGCCTTACGTCGATGGGCACCGATGAGACAAATGATTGTGATTGTTAGGAGCATGCCGAGGATGAGACCCGGAAAGAACCCGACTAGGACGGCGGCAGCGGGAAATTTATTGGAAGATTCTGTGGCGTGAAGAGTTGCATTTCCCGCAGGCGTTATTGTAGAGGAAGAGGAGGTGGCTGCAGAGCTGGATGATGCGGCTGTAGCAGATGATGAGGAAGATGTAGAAGAATCTGGCGCGGTATCCTGGTTGGCGTTGATCACACAGTTATTGTCCGAATTGCAAGAGTATCCAAACGGACAGCATCCAGTGCCACATGTAGGTAGTGTCCCTGTGAGTGCCGTTGTCATGAGCGAGATGTCTGGATGCGCTGTGGCATTTTGCTGTGTGATATCACATGTTATGGATTTGATTACCGAACAGGAGCTTCCAGACGGGCAGCATAATACCGTGGTGTTGGCGGCGAGTACCACGCAATCCGAAGAAGGCCCGCAACAGAAATTGGACGGTAGTCCAGCTTGACTACATTGTGTATATGCGGGATCGCCGCAAGTGGAGGCCCGCTCGAAGAGGTCCGGCGAAGACTGTGCCGCAGTAGAAGTCGCCAGACAGACTGTCGTGAGCAGGACGTTAGATGCTCGGGTTCGTCTCATCATGCCACGGGATCGTCAAAGGGTCTTTTTGTCGTCGAGCCCTGGTGTTTCTCTTCACGTACTCGTGGCAGCTGCAGATATAGTCGCAGAGGGATTCTGGAATTAAAAGGTATAATGAACAGTATAGAATCAGACGAGAAAGATCAAGAAGTAACTAATTATGAATCCGAAGAATCTTGATGACCGTGAAATGACTCCGGAGAATAAGAAATATATGGGGGAATTATTCAATAAAGAAACTTCTTTCGAGTCTTACCAAACAAGAGACAACGACTCGTCCAGAAACGGCGTACCGGCTTTCATATTCGCCATCATCTTCTCCTTTGTTCCCGACCTCACCACTCCACCTCACCATTTTCGTCATCAGGCTCGAGCGCGCCCCATGGCGGCGGTAACAGATGCTCCAAAGAGCAGCATCGCTCCCGCAAGGCGGTCTTCGCGCATCGACCATGTACCTTCGAATAGCTTTCGGGTGCTAGAATAGCTACCGCCGCTCTACCGGCAGTAGCTCGAGGGAACCGAATATCCACTGGTCGTGGAAGAGCGCGTTGTGGGGACCAGGAAGGTGAGGCAGTGCAGTCTCTCCTACCCTCTGACTCTTGTCATTGAGAGGTTGTAAAGCGCCTAGAGGTGATCCTGTCGCTTCCAATTTGTTGTGTTGAGACGAATGGGAGGGTGCGCGATTGGCCAGGAGGATTTTGCCGCCAGCTTTGACGCGCGATTGGATGACAACTAACCGTACCAGAGGCCAACAGACAAAAGGAAAGGGTCACATGAGATAACTGGGCGGAGACTTTGTACGAGGTACAGTATGTGAAGACTTGGATGAGTGGCCACTGGTCACAGTGTAGAAGAGATGATCTGAGCTGAAGATAATTAAAGTAAAAAGACGCCTAATAACACAGGCACCACATCGCTACAGGCAGTAAGGTACCATCTCGTCAGCCTTGTGGAGTTGGCTATTACCTAAGGTATTAGATAAGTAAGGCTGCAGCCTCATATCCGCTGTAAATTTTCAGAATCAGAAAAGTGTCGTCCAAAACTGCGACGTGCAACAAAACTTTCCACCCTGTTATATCTCACTCCCACCACCTCGCACAGATATTCTAAATAGCTCATATTGATGCCCCAGTATAGGGCTTTTCATTTCTACTACTTTTATTCATATCTGAGAGCAAAGGTTTTGGTGTGCAAGTGCGAGTTTGGCGCTAGTGGAGGCGCTAACAGGGGGGGGGTTGCCGGCAGAAGCTTTATCCGCCCTGGAACTCTGCCCCCTCCATTCCAAATCGAGGTATTACTGCTCTCGAAATATCATCTTCTACTGTATTAAGAGCACACGTTCTCCCCTGGCCTACGAAGAGCAATCCTGTGCCATCGTATTGCTATCCCACTGGGAGAATCAAGAGGAGTGGCTGTGCGTTATTGCCAAATGGAGAAATTGAGAGTTATAACTTGTACATCGGTACATTACCCGCAGAATCGCAGTTGTCTCTAGGTGATGCTGATTCCTGAACGTCCGCCCGAATGTCCTCACAGTCAATAGCATATAGATCCCGATTCAACGTTGCGCAAATCTCATTCGTAAGGGCCACTACCGAGCCTCCCGCCCCACTCCTTCCGGAACTTAGATCAACATCCTACAGTACTGAATAAGTATATTGTAATTTCTAGGGACTCTTCACATATCGTTAGTTCTTAAAAGTATAGAAGATCTAGGGGTCTAGTAATCAATTACATATTTTATTCTTCTTAGAAAAAAAGAAAAGAAAAAGGGGGATCAAGCATGGCCGAATCGAGACATCAACATGATGTGACTGTTTGACCAACAGGATCCTCTCCTCTGCGAGAGAATCTCCCAAGTTACAAATAGAGTTACAAGGGTATATATATAAGGTAGCAGAGCTAGCCAGGGTACATCTATCTCCAACAAACAAGCTAATTCAAGTCCCGGCCTGGGGAAATTATGAACGCAACGCCCAATCAATTATTACACAATGTGCAGCTATTCCTTCTTCGGCTCATGATACTCCGGCTGCGTTTCCACATCAATCGGTCTCATCTGTGCCGCCTCCAGGACTTCCATATTGATATGCTGCGGAGAGGAAAGTCAGCCCAAGCACGGGAGGAAGAGAAGAGAAGAGAGGGGATGCATACCGGTCCGGTGAAAGTCTTATTCTTGCCCCCATACCAAAAGATGGCAATGATAAGAGCAACACCTGCCACAACTACACTGACATAGTTCATGTCATTGACCTCTGCCGGTAAGTATGTTGGGAGGCAGAAGAGAACAGTATACAGAGAGACCCAGGCAACGCAGAAAATATTGCATGCTGGGCCAAACCATTTGCCCAGGTTAAACTGCCGGTTCGCGGGGAGGACCTTGTCGCGGCCCCGCCAGAGTAGGATGCCTTGCGGGATAGCATAAGTGATGTTGAGGGACAAGATGGACATGGAAATAAAGCTGTTGAAGGCAGTGGTAGATCCAACATAGATAGCGCCGTAGCAGATGATGAAGACAGATGAAGCAATGGTAGCATTAGCGGGCATTTGCAGTTTTGGGTGAACCTTCGCCAATAAGGAAGAGAAGGGGAGGCCATTGTCGCGGGCGAAAGCCCAGGTGACTCGGCCGGTTGCGGCGGTGGCACTAACGATGGAGCCAAAGTAGACTACGAGGAACCAAAAGCCGAGGAAGGTAGAGCCGGATTTGTTTCTCAGGGCTTGCTGGAAGATGGTGAGGATTGGAAGGACGCTGTCCTCAGCGGCCGCTAGGTCGTTGCTCGAGAACATGAAAGCGAGCGTCCAGGGGACGACAGTGGTGACGCCCATGATCAGACTGAGCATCATGGTTCTGGGAACTCCTTTGCCAGGGTTGGGAAGTTCCTGAAATCTCGTCAGCTATGATATCCTCCATTATAGAGACTTGGGTTGGTTGTGTAGAATATGGATAAACTCACCTCGGCAAGGTGCGAGGCGCCATCCGTCGCAATGAACGCATACATGCTGGTCCCAATTCCCAGAAGGAACGCTATACCGTCACCCCAGCCAGTCACGTTGGTCACGTCTGTGAAAACAACATGACCAGGCTGCTTCGTCTCACTCGTTGCAAGAACTGTGACGAAGAACACGAGACATCCAGTGACACTGATGATGAAAAACATGATTTCCGTCTTGGGCAGCGCTTTTGGAAACAAAACGACCACTACAGTAGCCAGAATCTGAAACAGGATGTACAGCAGGTAGATCTGCCACTGCTTGGCGGTATAATCCGGGTGCCAGAACGTCGCCAAAGCACCCACAATCTGAGCGTTGACGATAGTGGCCGATGCGGTGAAGAGACAGTAGGCTACGACGCTTAGCCATCCCATCATAAATGCTACCGGCGCCCGGGTCTTTTCAGTGGAAATCATGAATGCAAAATGATATTGGCCGCCCGTTGAAGGGAAAGCAGACGAGAGTTCCGCCAATCCGGTAGCTGTTACGGGGTTCATCGTGTTAGTTACTGTGAGGCAGACAGAAATTACACACGAGGAGCTGGGTGCACTCACTGATGACCGAACAAGCAAAGGCAGCGATCAAAAGACCCCAAAAAACTCCCGGTCCACCACCAGCGGCCAGGGGATAGGGAAAGGTCGCGCCGTAGCCAATCCATGAACTGGTCAGCAGAAAGGCAATGGCGAGTGTCGACAGGGTGGAGAACTGCCTGGGCATTTCTCCAGTGTGGCCTTGGGCGCGAAGCTCGAGCTCATCGGCGGAGAGGCCATGGTCCGCGCAGACCGCAGCCTCTGTCGACCGCTTCCTCACCGACGCAGGAGTGGAGTCACTCATGTTGAAGTGATGGAGAAGTGAAGGTGAAAAAATGAAGCATGAATACTTGACCGCATGTGGTCCCAGGGACCAAGAGGAGGTTATACATAAAGCTCACCTTATCTGCATCGCATGCTCTATTACTCCATGCTCTGGAGCTTATCCCACGAGTATCAGTACTAGACCGTAGATTAGATGGGGTGCACATGGCTCCGGTCTACTCCATCGACGCCCCCAGAATGCTAAGATAATAAGAATAAGATAAGTCCGCGTACTGGGCACACAGGTACCTGACAGTCTTCATCGGTGGCACCGGTATATTTGAAGTGTCCGGGAAAGCCGCAGGTCTGATTGGGTGAGAAGGCCAGAGCCGCATGATAAGGGGGGAAAGAGGAGAGCCGGTGCTGGGAAACTGGGGGTCGGCTGTCCTAAAACGATGGGATAAGCGACCCGATATTTCTAAAACGACAATTGGGAGCGATCCGAAGATTAGCCGCGATGCTACTATCCGCCGTGACGGCCGACCGCCACACCGGCGTGACAGGGCGAGGCATCATAAGGCATCATAAGGCACGACACGGGGTATCAGCCTTATCAGGACGCCACCGTCGCCTCTCCACATGCCAGGGGACCCAGGTGGTTCGAATTGAGACAGCTGTTATTGGCTTGTCGCAGTTCAAACGTACAGAGGTATGTACACCTACCGAGCATCTTTATGTACATCGGCACTCCAAGATTCCCAGCTTGGCGACGTCACATGCTTCGGCGGCTAAAGTTTCGAATACCGTGGCTCAGTCACATACCGGCTTGCCTCACAGGCGACTCACGATGCTTTACTTACAATGTATTGCTTTCCCCCGTATTTGGAATTTTTGCCTCTAGGAGATTCAAATTCTGCAGTAGTTGATTAATTCATTGGTCGAAACCTTCATTCGAATATCAGCGCTGGATCTCCAATGCGGCTGCCACTCGCTTGGGGAAAGCCGCATCGACCACATATGGTAAGCGTTGGCTCGAGGCTAGAACGTGCTTGAGGTTCCAGATGGTGAGGCTTAGCGCTTCTTATCTCCACCCCCGGCTTGTCCGATAAGCGCTTATCTCCACTCGTGGGATGATCGATAAGACCACACCCCAACACTCCGCATGAAGTTATCCATATTTCACATCTCGCATTGCATAACTTGTCCGCCGTTGATAACGTATCGGCCGCAGGACGACCAATGCTACTCCTCTAGCAGTTATGTAAGGTAGACAAGATGAGAAGATGTAGTAGACGTGCACATATCTAATGGTGATATCGAATACTGTCTCTCGAGTTGAGAGCCTTCACCTGTTCGAGTCTTCAAGAACCGAGCATCTTGCCTACCCCTGAGCCCTAGTGTTCTTGAGTGTGCAGTTATGTTGCCCCTCGTTTATTCATCTGCCATCATACTCCCCTTCATCGGGGTAGTAGCAGGCATCATCTATGTCTTCTACAAGTCGTGGGCATTGAAAGACATTCCTGGTCCCTTCATCACCCGGTTCTCCAAACTCCCTCTTCTGTACAAAACCATTACCTTGAACCGCACTAGATACATCCACGACTTGCACCAGAAGTATGGCCCCATTGTTCGCCTGGCCCCTGATGAGATCTCCGTCAACGACCCACCGTCCGTGGGCCCAGTCTACAACTACGAGAAGACGCACTTCTACAATGCCTTTGAGGCCTTTGGAGCCAAGAACATGTTCAGCACTCCAGACCGGAGGAACCACAGCGGCAGGAGAAAGAACCTAGGCGCCGAATACACCAGGACGTATATCCTGCGGCCAGAGCACCTGTCCGTCATCTACGACCGAGCTCGACAGATGATGGCTTCGATCAAGGACAACTCCACTGTCGACGTCTTCTACCTTTTCAACTACCTCGCCCAAGACGTGATCTCTGGATTCTTCTTTGGTGACAAGAACGGCAGCCACCTTCTCCTCGGTGAAGACACCTCCGTCTTCAACTCCTGGCACAGACGCCGCCATACCTTCCACTGGCTCGCCGAACTCCCCAATGTCACGCAGCTCATCTACCGCACCGGCCTCGCCCGCTTAATTCCCGGTTTCCAAATTGCCGTCCGGGGTGAGCGCGAAGTCAACGAGATGATCGTCAAATGGATAGACAGATGCGACCCTGACAAAGCCCATCTTCTCACCAAGCTCGTCTCCACCGGCATGCCACGCCCAGAAATCGCCGCCGAAGTCATGGACCACATGGGAGCGGGTCATGAAACTACCGGAACGACGTTGACTTTCATGATTGACCACCTGTCCAAGAACCCCGAGCAGCAAGCGAAGCTCCACGCCGAACTGCAGAACGTCGACCTCAATGACTTCGCTGCTGTTGACAAGCTGCCCTACCTCCACGGCGTCGTGCTCGAGACTCTGCGTCTGTACTCATCCATCCCGGCCTCTGAACCCCGTGTTATCCCCGTCGGCGGCGCCCGCATTCTCGACAAGAACATCCCTGCTGGTACCGTCATCTCCGCCCAGCCATACTCGATGCACCGCGAACCAGCCTACTTCCAGGCGCCACTTGCCTTCATCCCTGAGCGCTGGAACAACCCGACGCCGGAGGCGAAGACGGCATGGATGGCGTTTGGAAAGGGTACCCGAGGCTGCATTGGCCAGAACATCGCGATGGTGACGATCAAGGTAGCGGTCAGCCATCTGTACAAGACCTTCGAGACGAAGAAACCGGCGGTGTTGCCGCCGAACGAGGATATGGAGTTCAAGGATTACTATATGATTACGCCGAAGGGGGATACTTGCTCAATTGAATTCCACAAGGTTGCATGAGGCGGCTCGAAAAATGGTTGCCATGAGCGAAATGTATGAGCGAAATGTACTTTATGATTGAAGACTTCCATAAGTTCCATTGTCAATGTTAGAAATCGTACGTCTCGCTTATTAACCTCGCTTATTTCAGGGGTTCGCGTGAGTTTTCTTGTAGACCCGATGTGCTGAGCGTCCCATTCTTTAGACGACATGATTACTCGAAGCACTTTCCTTTTGGAAAAACCAGTCTCTGTACTATTGAGACTTTGCATGATCCTCGGGGCGATCCGCTTTCTGTACTGGGCTAACTAAAGTCTGACGGGATCGACCAAGGTTTCTCCGCGGTGACATTCAACTACTCCGTAAAGCTTATCTAGTCGCAGCAAACATTGATCTACTAACGCAGCGTACAAGCCGAGCAAGTAGTAATACGGCTATTCATCAGATCCCCTGCTCTTTTCGAATCTCATCATGATATATACATAATACACCATCTAATCGCCTGCCCATAAACAGAATATACCTCACTCATGACTATCAGATACCATGCCAAATTCAATCTTTCCACTTGTCATCCTCCCCTTCAAACTTCGACTTTTTCCTTCTCATCCGTGTCCTTATCCCAAAACATGTCAATGCTCTCCCCCTTCACTGAAGCATTAAACCACTGATACCACTCAACCGGTTTCCCGGGCCTCGCGCCCTTCAGCACATCTCTCAGCGCCACCCGTTCTGTCGCCAGGTAAAGCTCCGTCGTTGCCAAATTCCGCGCGATGCACATTCTCGGGCCCGCTCCGAACGCAAACCAATAGCGGCTTCCCTGCTCCGTCCAGTGCTCGTCGCCTTCGAACCAGCGCTCAGGAATGAATGAGAAGGGGTCTGGGAACGCAACGGGGTTGAAGTGCAGCTCGTAGGCGGAGACCCCAACCCAGGCGCCGGCCGGGAATGTGGTGTTCTTGAAGACCCAGCCTCCCTTGGGCACGATACGCGGCGGTCGGCTGGGGTTGGCCATGCTGATTCGGAGGCATTCCTTTACACAGGCGGAAAGGTAAGGGAGGGATTGAGCGTCGAGCTTTTGGTCAGCTGGGGCATGGTCGTTGGCTAGGATTTCGGCCCGGAGTCTTTGGTACCTGGATTTCGTTAGAGTTGGTGGTTATTGTGGAGTGGACCATGGAGAGCACGTACTTGGAGGGGTGCATGGCTAGGTAGCGGCACATGGAAGCAACGTTGTGGCCGGTGGAGTCGGTTCCGGCAAAGATAAGGTCTTTGCATTGTGCCTTGAGTTCATCCCTAGTCAGGCCGATTGCCATGAGGCGGCCGGGGTAGTTCAAAGCTCCCCTGCACACAAGTGGGGTTAGTCCGAGTCCAATGGTGCTTCTGGCATATATGCTAGGGATAAACGTACTTTGGAGTGCTGTCAACAAGGTTACTGACGTATTTGTCGACTACTTCCATGGATAAGTCCGTCCGTTCGTGATTCGTAAACTTGTCAACCGACCACTCGAACAGGTGGAACAGAGTGCTGGGCAAATAGAAAATCCGTCCGACGGCAACAAATGCGTCTACAAAAGAGGACACCGACAATCTGTGGGGAAATTAGCATATACATGTAGAGGGAGGCAAAATCAGGAGAAGTTGAATAACTGTGTTGAGGGGAAATTTGAGACTAACCGTTGTGCCTTCTCTGAGGTGCCATTATAGTTCTCGTGGAATAAATGGGTTGTCATCCCATCAACAGCCAAAGCTCGCCCGGTGTTCAGCACATTGACTGGCTTTCCTGTCCTCTTACTCTCCTCCGCCTCTTCGCGCAACCTCTCCACCATGCGATCGACACACCCATAAAGCGCCTCCTGGTTATCCCGAATGCTTTTTGTGGAAAACATGGACACAATTGCCTTTGCCCGCGGCGCTCTGTAGTCCATATCTGTGGTTGAGAAGATGGTCTTATGCCCGTCGATGTCGAAGTTAGCATAGTTGGGCGTCTTCTTAAACCCGCCTTTGGCCACGTAGATGGGTTGTACAGCGTCGATGTCGCTGATATCAACTTCATTTGGAGAAACTCGTACAATTGGGCCGTACTTTGCATGCATCCGGTTGGTGCAGGTGATCTCATCGCCGAAGTAGATATGGTAGTAGAGCCAGAAGTTGGTGATTTTCGGGAGAATAGGCCCAGGAATGTGTGACAGAGGGTGGAAGTAGATGCGGTAAATGCTGCGAAGTATGAGGAAAGAGAGGGAGGCAAGAAGAAGAACATTTACAGGTCCAACGAGGCGTATGCTCTCAAGGATCACTTCGAAGACCGCCATGGTTGCAGCACCGTTTGCACGTGACCCGTTAATGCCAAGCACCGTTAGGGATACAACGTAGTTGCTGGTATTTTAATTTCTGAAAGCGGGAACGTCGAAGACATAACAGTGAAGTCTGTTCTAGTGGTAATATCATGTACTGTTAAACAGTGCCACGTCCAGTTGTCCGCCAGGTACTGTGGAGAGGTGGACTGCGCGGCCGATCACGATAACGATAGCGTCGGCCGATACATTAAGGTAGTGATATTAGTAACGATGGGGATGGCCGACAGTGGGGGAGAAGAGCGATAGCCGACTGTCCTTGGGATCTAGGCGTTCTGGAAGGCTATTAATATAACTTCCAACACAAGATGGTATTAGTAACGTATGGAAGTGTATGTGAAAGCCATCTATACCTAGGTGTTGGGCGTTGTAGTAGTGGCATCTGTCAAGTGTCAAGGCCCAACAGGCTGGTGTTTCTTGCAAGGCTCCCATGCACTATGGGGTGTACTTTGTACTTCTAACGTATTGTGCAACTCCATGTAAATCGGGGAGTTCATTGGAGGTAGATACAAGTATACGGTAGCTGACTTCAACTCCTTTGAAGTATCTTACCTATTACCTTAGGTGCCATAGGTATCCTCACGTGGACAATTCAATCACGTGGTTCCCACATCATTATCTTGAGAATAGAATACACCTACCTAGAGGTATTGTAAAAGATTCAAAAAGACTAGCCTAGATTGCTCAGCTCAATGTTGGCACTTGGGACAAGATAGGAGTTTCTCAATAACTTTTGAGATTCGCTGCAGTGTCACTTGACTGGCTGTCCAAGACCACGGGACTCGACGGTCCAGCATTTGCCGCGATAATTGCTAGTGTGCAGATTAAGACAAGGGAACACCTTATGGCGAGGGAATATCTTCAATTACGACTAGCAATTACAGTATCCATCGCAAGGTCCAAGACCGTCATGTAGCGAAGAAACCATTCGTATCTAACCGTACAAAACCTTAATTCGCCCCGCCTTATTAAGCTCGCCTCTCAATCGGGCGGTCGGGATATCGGTCGCCGTCACGTTGGCCGTCCGCGCCGGGAATGGCGCTTGATTGGGCGTCGCCCAGTTCGATCCCGAGGAGGGCCGCATGGAGCCGCAACGGGCATCAATCGCACACACAGAAACCCCACGAGGCTGGCCATCAGCGGCAAGATCCACAATGGCCGCGTTGTCTACCGCCCTGCGCTCCGTAGATGGTATGATGTCCATCAGCAGAGAGAGCCTTTTGGGTTAGGCGTTGTCGGCATCTGCGTTCTTCTCCCACTGTCGCCCTTCTTGTTCCTTGTTCGTTCTTTTCTTTGGAGGTTACCCGCTCAGGTCAACTGACATTGATTTTTCCTTGCAGCAGCACAGTGCTGCTTAGCATCGTTGTAACTGCTCGGCACTAAGAACCTGCTTCTTCTCGTCCTCGTTTTTCCAGCTTCCTTTCACGATGGCGCCTGAACCACAGATTCCGCGAATCAATGAGCAACGGCTCTGGGACAATATCATGGAGACCGCCAAGTTTGGCGCCCTTGAGACTGTCGAGGGCGGCATGAATCGCTTGAGTCTGAACATGGATGACAAGCAGGTTCGAGATTGGTTCGTGGCGAGGGCAACAGAGCTCGGGTGCGCAGTTCGAGTTGATGCGATGGGCAACATCTTTGCTACCTGGAGTGGGCCAGGAAATGATAGGTCAGATCTGCCACCTATCGGCATGGGCAGCCATCTAGATACCCAACCCTTGGGTAAGTTAAGCTTATATTTGCAGCTTGCTCGTGTTTGTGCGTTGATGTCGTTGTACGTACTGACGATGGGGGTTTAGGTGGGCGATTTGATGGCATACTCGGCGTTCTTTCGGCGTTAGAAGTCATTCAAACTGTTAAGGAAAGTGGACTTAGGTTAAACCGACCTATCGCAGCTATTGACTGGACAAATGAGTACGTTCTCCGAGTACTTACCTACAGTCGTCTCTCCCCTTTGCTGACCCCGTGACAGGGAGGGCGCTCGTTTCCCAGCGATGTGCTCTGGCTCGAGTGTATGGGCAAATGCCAGGGACCTGAGCGATTTGCACAACCTCGCATCCCTCACCGAACCCTTGGAAACCATGAAGTCAGAATTGGAAAAGATCTCGTACCTCGGCGAAACCGAATGTTCATATAAGGCTAACCCGCTGGCCGGACACTTCGAGCTCCACATCGAGCAGGCAACCCACCTGGAAGAGACCAAGAAACACATCGGTATTGTCTCTGGCGTTCAAGGGATGCGGTGGTATGAGGTTAATATCATCGGAAGGGAAGGACATGCGGGTAGCACGCCCATGAATGTGCGGAAGGATGCTATGGTCGCTGCTGCCAAGATGATTCTCCATGTTGAGCAAATAGCACGGAAGAATGAAGGCTTTGGTACAGTGGGTTTCCTCAAGGCGGGTTCGGATGCGCCGAACACAATAGTTGGTGAAGTGCGCTTGATGATCGATCTCCGGCATCCAAGCGAGCAAGTCCTAGATGAGATCGAGAGTGGATTCAAAGCTTTCTTATGCTCCTTGGAATCTGAGACGAAAGGCTTAAGGACGACAATAAAGAGGTCCTGGGAGAATGCCGCCGTGAAATTTGATCAAGATGCAGTGGCCTGCGTTGCCTATGCTGCCGAGTCAGTTTGTGGCGATTCGCAGACCGTCATGACAAGTTGCGCTGCACATGACAGGTAGTGAACGTTGATTATAGACTCTTGATCAGAGCGTGGCTGACGATAAGCAGTGCCGAAACTGCCAAGGTTGTTCCGACAGCCATGATCTTCATACCAAGTCGAGACGGAATTAGTCATAATCCGAAGGAATATTCCACTCCAGCTCAATGGTACGTTGCGCCACACCTGCCGCACGGTTTGCAGAAATGTCCTAACTGATAACGCAGCGCGGAGGGGGCACAGGTGTTGCTAGAGAGTGTGTTGAAATACGACGCTTTACTGTTACAGAAAGCAGCAAGTTGAAGTGGATGCAATGGCGATTTAACGGATGATTATGGAAGGCGAAAGGTTTTCAAATATTAACTGGGCCCGAATATATATACAGCAAGACATGTGGTCTACTGTCTAGATCCACGGCAGATATTGAACTGGGTGCATTGAATTAGGTAGATTGAACTAGTCGATTGCGATGGTTGCCAGATATCTATTAGAGAGGGAGACAGAGAGAGATAAAGATATTCATGCGTACCTTACCTACCTTGTATAAATACTTCTTTGCTTCTAAGAGTGAAGGGATCCGACACAACCAGTAGAGTTCCTGGTCATATCGGAATCGTCGTCCATCTCTAGTAATAGTGAAGTAACCCGATATAACCAGTAAAATTCCAGGTTTCGTCGGACTCGTCGTAGGTATCAGAGTGGGGCGATTCGACGTTTCCACCAATCAGAACATTGCCGGGCTTTAGCCATGCCCTTTCACGTGCCCGACCAGACACAGTCCTGAACGTCGTTGAAGCCTCACTCGACGGTAGATGAGTCTGTTGTGCTGGGAGGAGTCCTGTATGATCATCGTCCCTACGAGCAAACGTCGATTTTGATGCGTACACGAAGACCGGCTTCTGAGAGACCCAATGGCGTCCTTGCCCGCCGAACCCCAAGCCCCCAACTCGCGGCCATATCGATCGAAGCGGGCAAGGCCATGTGATCTCTGCCGCTCGCGCAAGGTCTGCTGTCGCATACAGACCGTGCCGCCTTGCATGTTATGCGAAAAGGTGGGCGTGGAATGCACCTTCATCGAGCGGCCATCAAAGCGCCAGAAGCTGTGGGACTCCAGGACTCCAGGGAACCTCAACACCGCAACACCGGGAGCCGCGGCTTACGCCAATGCAGACTTCTCGCGGGGCCAAGCATCTCAGACCGAGAGCAATGTAATGGAAGCTCAGGAACTGTCGGCCGGCATATCTCATGATGTTCCTACACAGGCACTTGATATGTCGAATCATGGCCCAGGCGACGCCGTTGACTCTTCACTCTTCCCAGTACTTGACGAGCACGGCTTAGATATCAACCAACTAGACAGTGACTATTCTCCAAACGGCGGCGACGCGCAGGGCGATTTTTCAAATTTACTTTCAGAGGCCGATAGAGCCTATTTCTGGGATTCCCTCGGCGGTAATTTCCTGAATCTGATGCCTAATGGTGTCCATGATACGATGGAACCCGGAGAGGACGGCGAGGCAGAAAATACGACCTTCACTGAGGCAGGCCAGCAATCGAAGTCGTATCCTGCTTATTTCCCGAGAGTCATTGAGAGGAACGTCACTCCTGTCGTCAACTCTCTTGACGACAGATCTGGAACGAATGCCCAGTATTTTGGGCTTTCCGGAGAGTCAGATCCATACTTATTGAGACACTACCGTTATGATGCTCAAGGAGAGTTTCGGTTCTTCAAGCTCACCTTCCGGAAAGCTGCAGATGATATAGAGACGGACTCTGAACGGGTTCCGCAACAGCCGCACCCCACTGAAGCAGGCCTAGCAGGTGCAATCCCTAATGACGAGCAGCAGGAGCAGCAGCTTCCTAATTACACACCAAACCAGATCCCGGTGCACTTCAAGATCTCAGCCGATGAGCTCGCGGCTGACATCAAGGAGGAAACCGTTGTTCGGCCGGGAGTTTCGTCAGAAACGGTGAGGAAAGAACTTTATGAATTAGTAAAGGTCGAGGACGGAGTTAGATTAATAGGCTTGTAAGTTCCCTTGAAAGATGCTTGAGCAAGATTCTTACGACGAAAGGTTCCTGAAATACGTATTCCCATCATTTCCGGCCATCTCACGCTCACAGCTTGGGATCACGCCGGCCAAACCGATCCCCTCTGTCAGCAGCCTGGAGAAGGTTCCCACCCACCTTCTGGCTGCTGTATATGCATCTTCATTGATCTTCTGTCCTTATGATGACCGGCTGTGCGTTTCAAACGTCTACACCCGGCCATCTGCAGCCAAGATCTGGCGAATAGCGTACGAAGAGATCCTGCGCGAGATTCACACCCCGCACCTATCAGTTGTGCAAGCCGCACTGCTGTATCTACACAAACCACCGACTGGAGCAGCCAGTGCAGCTTCAGATACGCCCTTTCATTGGTCGTTCATGGGGATCATCATGGGGCTGTCTTCGAGTCTCGCTCTGCATCTCGACTGCCATGATTGGATGATCCCGGCTTGGGAGAAGAGGTTGAGGCGGAGGCTCTGGTGGATGATATACGTCGAGGAAAAGTGGCGCAGTTTACTCGGAGGCTTTCCGACCCTGATTAATAGTGATCAATGGGACGTCTCAGAGTTGACAGAACACGATTTCCTCATCGATGAAGGCATAGGGACGGGCGTGCCAGACACCAACCAAGGCAGCGGAAACGAAGATTTAGAACTTGGTGTCCGATTTCGCCACCTTGCGAAATTATCACTGATCGTCGAGGATGTCCATCGATCATTCTAGTAAGTTATCCCATCCTCCAAGATGCCAACATACGATACTAATCCACCCAAGCACACTCCGCGCAGCCCGCCTCCTATCCCGAGACTTCCACCTCTCCATAACCACCGCGCAACCGCTCCGGCACCGTTTAAAAGCCTGGTACTCGATGCTCCCGGCCTCGCTCCAGATCCGCAACCGCTCGATCCCCGAGGATCTCAGCTGCGCGACCATGGATTCCAATTCCGCCCTCCACCTCGCCTACCTGTCTCTCGAGATCCTTCTCTACCGCGCCCTCCTCCGGCCCCTGGGCCGCCGCCGCGCTCAAGTACCACCCGTCTCCAAAACCAACCCGACAGATCGCGCACCCGGCCAAAACGCGCTCAACAACAACAACGCCTCCCCGCCAGCTTTCCACCACGAAGCAGATGCGCCTATCGAAGGCGTCCCGTTCGGCGAGATGCACGAGGCGGCCGAAGCCGTCATCCTAGCTGCTGAGAACTGCGCTAAGATCGTGACCAGTTTCGCGGCTAGTCTCGACTCTCGCGATTTCGCCGGCTTTTGGTATTCCTGTAAATTCCTCCCCCCTCCCCCCTTTTTCCCCCCCTTTTCTTCCCTCCACTAACCACCAGAAATAAAAAAAACAGGGTCCCGTGTAGGATTCGCCACCATGTCCAACTTCGCCATGCTCCTCCTGGTCCAAGCGCCCACGGCCCAGCACGCCCAAGATTCCAAAGCCATCCTGGATACCTGGCGCCGCACGCTACGGATCCAGAGCAAGAGCTTTGAGCAGATGAATTTAGGATTGCTGAGGCTGGATGCCGTGCATTGGAGTGGTGCTGAGCAGTTGTTTGTTGTGGATCGTCATGTTTTGGATGTTTTGTGAGTTTTGAGTTGAGTGAGTGAGTGAGGGGAAGGAAGGGGGGGGGGGGGGG